TACACTCTGCAAGGGGTGGGGGTGGGTGGGGAAGAGGTAAGAGCTGGAGGTGGTGTCTACTCTGTAAGGGTGGGTGTGTCTACACTCGAGGGGTGGGGGCAAGTGGGTGAGGGGTGGAGTGAGTGTCTACACTGCAGGAGTGGGATGGGGGAGGGGTGGAGTTGATTTTCATTGCTACTGCTGGTGGGCTGCAGATTTCCTTCTGTCATGTCAGAAAAGGAGGTAACAGTCTTGGCCCTGAGATTGGCTTGGAACTTGGCACAGGAAGTGAGGTCCCTTCCCCCATTGTTTGTTTGTTTTTTCTGTTTGGGTCACACCTGGCGAATGCACAGGGGTTACTCCTGCTTTTGAACTTAGAAATTACTCCTGGAGTGCTTGGGGGACCATATGAGATTCTGGGAATCGAACCTGGGTTGTCCACATGCAAGGCAAATGCCCTAGCCGCTGTGTTATCGTTCCAGCCCCCTCCCTTCCCCCACTGTAGGACTGTCACCTCATGTGATTGCTGTGCTGTTTCTGGGGTAAGAATGGATTACCTCTTCCCTCTCAGTGCTGAAAAATCACTGTTTATGTCACGAGGCCAAACGGGCTTTTAAAAATGTTATTCATATAATGTTGAAGGTTTGCTGGTGGCTTGGTCAAGACAGGGCCAAGGGAGGTTGACTCAAGAGAAAAGTGTTGTAACTCTGCCCTGACCACCTCACCATCAGCTCTTGGGGGCTTCTCCAGAGCACAGATACAGAGCGACAGGGAATGAGATGTGAGTTCCAGGGAGAACAGGAGCTTCAGATCCAGCCCTGAGTGACTTCCTGAAGGAGCATTTATACAATTCCGACAAATAGGACTTTCTGGAGTTTTGCACAATGAGAGTTAATCTGGGCATTGTCACAGGGCAGCCTTGCACATAGATGGTGCATAATCTCATCCTTTGTTGATCTCATGGATTCTTATGTACTTTCTCCTTTTCTGAGGGGTTCCCCCCTCTGTGGATGGGTCCTTAAGTTTCTGTATCTGGGTGCAGCCTCAGTTCCTCCTCTCCAAAGGTGTGAGGAGAGAAGGTTTGACACATACCTTATTGTGTCAGGGGAATGTGGTCTTCATGCCTCTGGCTACTTCAGAGCCAGGAAAGCTCTTAAATCTTATCATTTGTCTGTGCATTGACACTGTGTAGCAGTGTATCGCCAGGGTCCCTCACCTGTCTGCCTACACCAGGGTCTTCTCAAGAAAATCTGTGGTGACAGCAGCTAACTTTCTTTCTTGCTTCCCCTCTTACTTTTGTACTTTCCCCTCCCTCTCTCTTCCTTTCTTCTTCCCTTCGTCCTTCATTCCACATCTAGCCAAATGGCTCTCTGTAGGTTATTTTTAATTCCTTTGTGGAAAAGAGAACATCACAGTTTGAGGGCAGAGACATGGGGTCCCAGAAACCCCATATGGTGCGCCAGACCTGCCAGGAGTGATCCCTATGTGCAGAGTCAGAAAGAAGCCCTGAGTACCACTGGGCATAGCCCAGAAAGAAGAAACAAAGTCCCTGAAATCTATGAAACTTTCCTCCTCCTCCTCCTCCTCCTCCTCCTCCTCCTCCTCCTCCTCCTCCTCCTCCTCCTCCTCCTCCTCCTCCTCCTCCTCCTCCTCCTCCTTCTTCTCCTCCTCCTCCTCCTCCTCTTTCCTCCTTCTCCTCCTCCTTCTTCTTCTTCCTCCTCCTCCTCCCGTGTGCCTGCCTGATGGCTCTTAAAAAGAAAAAAATTGGGGCCACGCCTAGCAGTGTCAGGACTGGCCGGGCTATATCTCTACCTGCTGGACTATGGTTCTCCCACCAGTGGTTCTTGTCTGCATCTGCTAGGTTATCGTTCACTGCGATTGAGCCCCGGGGAACAGTCATGCTGTGAGTGAGGGCTGGAGACCGGTGTGTCCAGGCTCATGCTTGTTTTGGGGGGGGGGGGGGTCGGCCCGTTCCTGCAGGGGGCTGCCTTGAATGCTGCTTCTGAATGAAGTCCTTCCTTTCCCCAGACCTTTGATCTCTCCTGTGGCAACCTGGGAGCTTAGTCATCACAGCTGACACCAGCTTCTCACCAGGGAAGACGTGGGTGTAGGGATGATTCAGCCGTCATTCTGGTTTTGGCTTCAGAAAAGCAGGACCTGGGGAGGCCTAACATGGGGCCCCCTGGCTTTGTTTCTGTTTTTGGAAAGAATTCCATGGTTAATTCACTTCCAGCTGGTAGTTTACTTAGGGAGAAATATTATAAGGAAGACTTGTGTGCTCTCAGGGAGAATGAAGAACAATTTTATTTGAACAAATTTAAGTTTCATAGGTTTTGTTTAATTTGTTTGTTTTGGGGCTATGCCCAGTAGTGCTCAGGGCTTACTCCTAGCTCTGCACACAGGCAGGAATCACTCCTGGCGGGTTTGGATTGCCAAAGACGGGACCTGGCTTGGTGGCGTGCAAGGCAGACACCCTACCTGCTGTATGATCTCTTCAGCTCCTCAAGGGTTTTTGCTTTCCTTTTATTTTATTTATATATTTTTAAAGTAAAACAAGTTTTATTTGGGAAATAAAAGGAGGCAAGAAAAGAGCTAGATAAATGTGTCCTCAGAGAGAACAGGGGCTTCTCCAGAGTGGGAAAGGAAGTGTATTACATGTTCCATGCAGACATTTCTGGTCCTTTTAAATTATTTACTTATGTATTCTTTCTCTCTCTCTCTCTCTCTCTCTCTCTCTCTCTCTCTCTCTCTCTCTCTCTCTCTCTCCCTCTCTCCCTCTCTCCCCCCACCCCCGTTTATCACTATTGCTTCGACCCTTATTATCATCTTACTGTACACAGTTACCACATGTCACCATTACCAAAATTCCTCTGCCAATAACCGAATATCGTTTCTAGTTCACCTCATTTTACTTCCTCCCTTTCCCGTGCTATCCCTCCTCGACTCTTCCCGCCCCATTTGGTAGTCTATTTTGAGATCTAGGGTCAACAGTTTATTCCAGTTTGGTGTGTCTGTTCCCATGTCTTCTTTGTGTGTGTGTGTGCTTTTTTTTTGGGGGGGGGGGGGTCACACCTGACGTTGCACAGGGATCACTCCTGGCTCTGCACTCAGGAATTGTCCCTGGTGGTGCTCAGGGGACCATATGGGATGCTGGGAATCGAACCTGGGTCAGCCGCATGCAAGGCAAACACCCTACCTGCTGTGCTATTGCTCCAGCCCCTCCCATGTCTTCTTTATGAGATTATCTGGTATTTGACTTCTGATTTATGCCACCTGACAGCCTCCAGCTCTATCCTTGTTGCAGTGAAGTGCATGATCTCGTCTTGCAGCTTCAGAGTCTTCCGTTGTGTAGATGTACCACAACTTCTTCATGCATTCATCTGCCCCTGGATTGTTGTGCATTCATCTGCCACTGGGTGGTTTCCATATCCTGGCTATTGCATTATGTACATAATCTTTTCAATAACATATCTTTTCAAATGATCATTTTTGTGCTTTGGGAGTAGATGTCAGAAGAGGCTCACTGGGTCATATGCTAGTTCTATTTCTGGTGAACTGCCGTGAATGAAGTTTCCTTTTGAATAACAACCCAACTGATCCTGGTTGTTTCTAATCTTTAAAAAAATTTTTTTCTTTTGGGTCGGGGCGATAGCACAGCGGGTAGGGCATTTGCCTTGTACGCAGCCAATTCAGGTTTGATTCCTCCGTCCCTCTTGGAGAGCCCGGCAAGCTACTGAGAGTATCCTGCCCGCACGGCAGAGCCTGGCAAGCTCCCCATGGTGTATTCTATATGCCCAAAACAGTAACAAGTCTCACAATGGGGACATTACTGGTGCCTGCTCAAGCAAATCGATGAACAATGGGAGGACAGTGGTTTTGGGGATATACTTGATGTTCCTTAAAATTTCTTTCTGGTGGTTCTCAAGCTTCACTGTGCTCAGGAAACCGTATGTGGTGATAAGGATGAAACTCAGTTTAGCTGTGTACAAGGCAAGTGACCTACCCATGGTCCTATCTCTTCAGCGTGCCAGTCTTTTCAATATATGTCATTCTCACTGGTCACACCTTTTTTTTTTAAACTGGATTTTTAAATTTATATATATATATATATATATATGTTTAAATTTTTATTAGTGAAACACCATGAGGTACAGTTGTAGACTTAACAAATTTTTGTGCTTGGGTTTCAGTTATACAATGATCCAGTACCCATTCCCTCCACCAATGCCCGTTCTCCACCACCACTAATCCAGTATCCCTCCCACCCCCTATCCCCCCATCCCACCCTGCCTCTGTGGCATGGCACTCCCTTTTGTTCTCTCTCCTTTTGGGTGCTGTGGTTTGCAAAAGAGGAATTGGGTGGCATTCATGTTCAGTCTATAGTCTACTTTCAGCATGCTTCTCCCATCCTGGGTGAATCTTCCCAACACCCTTTATTTGGTGCTCCCTTTTTAGTTGAAGTACTCAGGAGAATTAACCCCTTTTATCTTGTTTACGGGTTGGAGCGATAGCATAGTGGTCATGCATTTGCCTTGTGCGCAGCCAGAGTGAGCCGGGTTTGATTTCTCCGCCCCTCTCAGAGAGCCCGGCAGGCTACCGAGATTATCTCGCCCTTGTGGCAAAGCCTGGCAAACTACCCTTGACATATTTGATATGCCAAACACAGTAACAACAAGTTTCAAAATGGAGACATTACTGGGCCCGCTCAAGCAAATCGATGAACAATGGGAAGACAGTGTTTGTTTTGTTTGTTTGTCATGCTTACCTGGCTCAGATGTGGTTGAAAATAATGTGTGGTATGGGACACTGCAGAGAAAGAGTGGAATAAGTTAGGAAAAGAAGTGAATCCAGGCTCCAACAGCTGCCAGGATTGCGTTCAATGCATGTGGGACACTGGAGATTTCAGCTCTCAACCACGTGCTTGAAAAATAACTTGCTATTTCCTCTGGGTCTCCTCCCAATCAGTTTTGGGGATGTTTCAAAAGTATTGGTGTTAATTTTTAACATTTACAATTTTCCAGGTAGTCCATCTAGTGGATTTCAAGTTTAACAAATTTAAGAGAGAAAGTGAGACAGAGTCAGAGAGAGAATGGGAGAACCAGCATGTCCTAAGGTAAGCAGCTTGTCCTAACAAGTCTTCAGTTTAAGTTAAAAGGGGAATGAGGGGCTGGAGAGATGTACAGTGGGTCAGGCGCTTACTTTGCACACAGCCAACCCTGGTTCAGTCCCTGGCACTGCATAGGGTCCAGGAGCCCTTCCAGCAGCAATCCCTTCAGTAAGCCCTGAAGGTTGCTGGGTGTGGTTTCAAAAGACATCAATAAAAGGCTTCAGGACAGAGAGGAGAAAGGAAGGGTCTGGTGTGAATTTTCAGAGTAGAATTCCAGGAAAAGCAGTTGATCCTAGATCATTTGCAAAATTGCATTTGGCTTCTCTGGCTGAAAGTACCTAATGAAACGTAGTATTTCTTTCCTGGTCCCTTTTAAATCAAGTATTTACTATAAATGAAATTTACATGCAGAGGAAGGATAGAGAGAGAGGAGGCATAGTCCCCAGAGCCATTTTACTCTCTGTTACAATTTCATTTTCTGAGAAACCACAGATGGAAATGATTGTTTAAGAGGACAATGTGACAATTGCCAGCCATCAGTTGGAATAACTCCACAGAGGTTTCCTCATTTTTCCATTCCTGAAGCTATTTCTGATTCTGAGTATGCTTTAAAGCTTTGATAAAGCTCAAGATAGATATTTGCTCTGGCTTATTTTTTTTAAGTAAGTTTAAAAAAAATTCCACATCTTAGTGGTTGCTTATTATAGAACACCACTGTGAAATAAGCTAGGGATTTTTACAGGTGCTGAATCTTAGTCTTAATTCCTGTGTGCAAATGTGAAGTTTTGAACTTTTATTTATTTATTTATTTATTTATTTATTTATTTTTTGCTTTTGGGTCACACCTGGCGATGCTCAGGGGTTACTCCTGGTTCTGCACTCAGGAATTACTCCTGGCGGTGCTCGGGGGACCATATGGGATGCTGGGAATCAAACTTGGGTTGGCCACGTGCAAGGCAAACGCCCTACCCACTGTGCTGTCACTCCAGCCCCGCAAATGTGAAGTTTTGAAGACTGAATTTCACAGAGATTAGTTTAGACCTTAACAGACATCAGAGTGTTCAGGACTTTTTTTGGGGAGGGAGGAGGAAGGGAGCGGAAGGCACACCTGGCAATGCTCAGGAGTTACTCCTGACAGTGCTCTGGAGTCCATATGGGATGCTGGAGATTGAACCTGGATTTGCTGCATGCAAGGCAAGTGCCTCCCTATACAATGTACTGTCTGTCAGGCTTCCATATTGCCAGGGTTTCTGCACACATTGTCCATGAATCTTCATTTCTTTTTGGATTAAAAAGTGCTGAACTTACACCCAAGGTAACATACTTCAAGAGTTGTATGGCCTGCTGACTTTGAATGTTCTGGAGGAGTAGTGAATCTTTTGGGGATTCCAACATAATATTCGATGATTTTCCTTATTTTGTATCCTACCTTAAAGATGTGTGTAACTGGGGATGTGGTGGTAGAAAATGTACACTAGTGAAGAGACAGGTGTTGGGATACTGTATAACTGAAACACAATCATGGAAAACTTTGTAACTGTGTCTCTCATGGGGATTCAGTTAAAAGAAAATCTGTATGACATATTCACTTTTGATGATTTTTCCAAAGTAGTAACCAAACTTATGCATCTTTGGATAAATAAGAATATCATTCTTGGAGGATCCTCCCAGGAGGGGAGATACATGTTGAAAGTAGACTATGGACCGAACATGTTTGCCACTCAATGCCTCTCTTGCAGACCACAACACCCAAAAGGAGAGAGAGAACAAAAGGGAATGCCCTGCCACAGAGGCAGGGGCCGATGTGGGGGATGGGGGTGGGAGGGATATTATCCATGGTGGTGGAAAATGGGCACTGGTGGAGGGATGGGTATTTGATCATTGTATAATTGAAACCCAGGCACAAAAAATTGTAACTCTACAACTGTACCTCATGGTGTTTCACTAATAAAAAGAAAAAGAAATGTAAAAAAAAATCATTCTAATGGTGTTATTCTGGCATATGGATGTATAGAGACGTCCTAGAAAATAAGTTGCCTTAGTAGTACGTGACATATTACCTTTGTTAGAGTACAAGGCAATTATTGAGTGCAGATTAAAGGAATTTGAGAGACCCTAGCTCTTAACAGAGGGAGGTAGTGATAGTATTACCAAACATATTCCGATCATTTTTCTTCTCTTTTTCCTTTAGGCACATGGCTAAGGCTTGGGCACCATCCGACTCTCACAGAATTCTACAGTTTTTTTCATGATGGTTTCTAGATGGACTTGAGTCTTGGCTGCTGGAGACTCCTGGTGCAGGGAAATGGCGATCAGTCTAAACTTCAGAAAGCAGAGTTTTCAGTTGTTAAAAAGGAGAATTTTTTTGCTTTTGAAACTTCTAGCTCTTGTCTTCACGGTGGTTCTATTTTGTGAATTTTTAATCTATTACATAGTGATTTTTCGGTGTGATTGGCCAAAGTTGAAAACTCCAGTCAATGATGGGCAGCACGAGAGACCAGAGCCAGTGCTGAAAGCTATGTTCCTGGCTGATACCCACTTGCTTGGACAAATTAAAGGCCACTGGTTCGACAAATTACGAAGGTAAGAGTGAGAATTGGGGATCTTCCCTTTTTCTTTTGCAGGAGTGGTTGTGTTGGTAGGACTGGGTGGGAATGCCCAGCAGTGCTCCAAAGCTGCTCTGGGGTCACAGGTCAAGGGTTGTTCCTGGTGGTATTCTGGCCATGGACCATGAGGTTTGGGACCAAAGCTGGACTGCTTGCATGCAAGGCATGTGCTTTGCCCATCAAGCTCTCTCCCTTGCCCTCTTTCTGAAATTCTATAGACAGAAAGAGGAGCTTGGCCCCTCCTTGTGCCACCTGCCCAAATCTCCTCCCTTTGTAAAGGGAAACGAGACCCCCACTGTCTGTGAGCACCATGACTTATTATTCCATTCACCAGTGGATGGACACTCAGGTTGCTTCAACCTCGTAGCTATGTGAGTAACACTCTACTGAAAGGTGCTTTCATATACTGGCTGGAAATTCTTTGTTGCTGGCCCTGTATGTGACTACCCTTCCTTCCAATGGCAGCATCTGTGCTTCTCTGAATAGGTGTTTGCTATTGCCTGGGGCTTCATCTCTGGAATGCCTTGGATATAGATGAAACTTGGTGCTAGCTGGGAGGCTAGTTACTTTCTTTCTCTGGAGGTGAGAGGAGGCAGGAGGAGAAAGGTGGAGAAGTGAAGAGTTCACCTTTGGAATGAACGGGAGGGCTGCCTGCCTGCCTCTCTTCTCATGCCTATAATGAATCATTTCTAATCACTAGATGGGAATGCCCGGTGGATCCTTGGGCAAGGAGCCATTTGAGTTCATCTGTTTTGTCTTTGTCAACTCCCAAGAGCTACTCAGGAAGCCAGGAGCATTCTCTCCCATGATTCTTGACCAACTGACCCATTGGTTCAGTGTGGTGGTTCTGTGGTGCCAGGGATTACCTGGTACCGGTGGATTACCTCCCACTGGCGCTAGGGAGAAAGGAGGTAGTCTCCAGGGCTGCACCTGGAGATGCTTGGGGGGTGGGGGGGGACCATGTTGTGCAGTGCTGGAGGTTGAAACAGTGTCAGTCTCATAAAGGTCCATGGTTGGCAGCTTGCCTCATGAGCTGGGGGAGAGGGCAGCTAGGATAGAGAAGACATCACTAAGTCAGTGATGGTTGGAGGGATAGTTCCATATAGGAGATGTGTGCTGAAAGTAGATAAAGGACCAAACGCGATAGCCTCTCAATATCTGTATTGCAAACCATAATGCCCAAAAGTAGAGCGACAGTATGGGGGAAATTGTCTGCCATGGAGGCAGGGGGAGGGCTGAAAGGGGGGTGGATACTGGGGACATTGGTGGTGGAAAATGTGCACTGATGGAGGGATGGGTGTTCGATCATTGTATGACTGAAACTCAAACATGAAAGCTTTGTAACTATCTCATGGTGGTTCAAAAATAACTAGTTTCAGTCTCGTGCAAGGTGGATCCTTAACTCCAAGTACTGTCTCTCCTGCTCCTTCACCTTTTTAATATGTGTTTATTTGTTTGGTCTTTGGGGCAGCATGAGGTGATGAGAATCTCACTGAGTGGTCCACGTGCAAAGCATGTGCTGTAGCCTTGGAGTTCTCTTCCTAGCCTTCAGTGGCCCTTTCAGTGTGCCTAGGGTGGGTTCCCCTCAAGAATCAGACTCACTTAACTTTTCTCTGTTGATGTCAAGGGAATGGCAAATGGAGCGAGCCTTCCAGACCGCTTTGTGGTTGTTGCAGCCGGAAGTTGTCTTCATTCTGGGAGACATTTTTGATGAGGGGAAGTGGAGCTCTTTTCAGGTAGGACCCGGGAATCCAAGTACCTAATTCTGTTCTGAGGGCCTAACAGAGGCAGTGCACAGCCTCCACTATGTAATTTCAGTGAGGCTGAAAGTTTTGCTTAGTTTGTCTGTATTGAAGATGGACAGTCCCCCTGAAGGGCTGTTAATGTCTTTTCAGCATTAGTAGTTAGGTTGGCTAATCTTATCTTTGTGTAAAAAGTACATAGATTAGTCAGACATCAGTTTGTTGAAATGAACATTTCAACAATGAATGAACCTCTAGGAAAGTGGAAATTTAGGTGAGAGGGTGCCATATTAACATGTATGTTTAACTTTTTATTCTTTTCTTTAACCATAATCTTAAAGAATTGCATTACAAAATTAGATTTTTGCCCCAAAACTTACTTGCCACTCTTTTTACTTGCCTCTGAGTGAGAGGTGTAGATGAAGGAGTTTGATATGAGGTCCCTTTGCCTTCAGGGGGTACTGAGGTGATGAATGTGTTCCCACAAACCAAAGAGAAAGTCTACTTATAGAAAGCTTTGCTGGAATTGTGTGTGGGGGGCAGAGAAGAGAGAGAGAGAGACAGAAGGAGGAGGAGGAGGAAGAGGAGGAAGGAGGAAGGAGAATAAGGAGAAGGAGAAAGAGAAGAAGAAGAAGAAGAGAAGTGCTAGGTCACAAATGGGTTTGGAAGGCATTTTCTTTAGGTAAAGGGCATTTAAAAAAATTATTGGTATTTCCCAGGAATTCAAAATTGAAAGGAAGTCTTGGTCCAGATGTGATAGAAACTCATTGTTTATAAGGTTGCAATTCTGTTATGTTATCTCATAATGAAATATTAGGTAATGGAAATGGTCTACATAAAAACCATCTCGTTATAAAATGAGGTTGGCTAGATGTTTCTTTTGCAAATTAAATTTCTAATTGTATGGTAGTCTAATTTTTAACTATTTATTAAAATGAAGTCTTTGTATATTTAGGATTCTCTAACCAGCATATTTCTAATGATTGGGCTACAGTAAATACCTTTGGACAGAATCAATATTAAGAGGTTTATTGCCTACTTTACAATATCTATCCAACAGATTCTTTTTTTTTTTTTGCTTTTTTTTTGAGGGGGGTCATATCCGGTGATGCACAGGGTACTCCTGGCTTTGCACTCAGGAATTACTCCTGGTTGTGCTCAGGGGACTATACGGGATGATGGGAATCGAACCCGGGTCGGCCACTTGCGAGGCAAACTCCCTACCCACTGTGCTATCGCTCCAGCTCCCCAATAGATAATTTTTAAGATTTAATAATAGCACAGCGGTAGGGCGTTTGCCTTACACGCAGCCAACATGGCTGACCCGAGTTCGATTCCTCCGCCCCTCTTGGAGAGCCCGGCAAGCTACCGAGAGTATCTCGCCCGCACGGCAGAGCCTGGCAAGCTCCCCGTGACGTATTCGATATGCCAGACACAGTAACAACAAAGTCTCCTGATGGAGACGTTACTGGGGCCCGCTCGAGCAAATCGATGATCAACGGGAGGGCCTTTACCTTTTACCTTAATAATAACCAACATATTTCTCAAGCTTTAATATCCTAAGCAAATGTTAGAGCAGTTGTGGAATTTTTTCTTGATTAAAAGACTTTTTAAATTGAATCTCCGTGAAATACACAGTTACAAAGTTCATGATTGGCTTTTAGTTGTAAAGTTTTCCAACACCCGTCCCTTCACCCATCCCTTCATCCCTACATTTCCCACCACCAGTGTCCCTAGTTAGCCTCCTGCCATGCCAGCTGTGAAATGTTTGACTTTCTCCCATGCCCATCAGTTCTGATTACCCCAGTCATGGCCATAAGGAAATGTTCTCACTGAGGCACGTGCTCATGTTTGGCCAGTTGGGATACATGAACAATTAACTTGGCACCTCCAAAGAACTGACTACAGCATGTCCAGACCTACAGCCATTGCTCAACTTGAGGTTCAGGCAAAGGTCTGGAAATGACAAGAGGTGTTTGAATCGAATATTCTGGTCATTGTCAGTTAATGTTTTAAGATGATGGGGGGGGGGGAGGAAGACCATTGAGCTAAAACTTGACCTTTTTCTAAGAGAAAAGAAAAAGAAAAATAAATTGGAAACATGATCCTTTTGAACTTTTGGCATTGTACAGGGATAACTTCTCACCATCAAGATGTAAGTCATGTTTTGCAGTAAGAGGAAAGAGAGGGTCTCTCTGGGATTTAGCCACGAACCCTTGTCCCCGCAGGCCTGGCAGGATGATGTGGAGCGATTTCAGAAAATGTTCAGACACCCAGGCCAGGTGCAGCTGAAAGTGGTCGTTGGCAATCATGACATTGGCTTCCACTATGAGTAAGTATCTCCCCAGCCTCACCCCGAGAACAACATGAATGCTCATGGTTTGTTTGCTCTTAGGCCACACCCAGCAGTGCTCAGCTTAGTTGTGGCGCTGTGCTCAGGGATCACTTTTGGCTTGGGGAACCAGAGGGGGTGCTGGGGATTGAATCTGGGTCAGGCGTGTGCAAAGCAAGCATTCTGCTGCTAGCTCTGGTGTTGGCCCCGGTGAACGCTCAAGTCAGCCCTGAGTTTTCCAGTATGGAAGTGGACATTTGTTTTCCTTAAAAGACAACCACTCCGGAAAGTCAGGTTCCACGAGGGCACCGGCAGGGAGTTTTGTCTGGCACGCTGAACTCCCTCAACAAACCTCTGTTGGGTCAAAGATTTGTATGTGCCCTTGGGGGAGTCTCACTTGATTTCATGGCCATTTGTTTACTCTGGGAATCTGAAAACAGGACATTTAGACACTCCCACCTAACTTCAGTGTAGCGCTTATGATGTGCGAGATTGAGCAGTTTACTCTCATATGTTAACTCTTAATTTTTTTGTTTGTTTTTGGGCCACACCTGGCAATTTTCAGGAGTTACTTCTGGCTCTGCACTCAGAGAAGTCACTGTGGCAGTGCTGGGGACCAAAGCTAGGTTGGCGGTGCACACCCTACCCACTGTACTTTCACCCCAGCCCCCATTCATTTAATTTTTACCATGATCTTAGTAAAACAGTTTCCACCACACCCTTCCCCCCACACCTTTTTTAAATTTAATTTTATTTTTATAAAGTTGTTTGAAACAACTAATTTCATTCAGTGTTCCAACACCAATCCCACCACCATTACACCTTCCCACCACCATATTTCAAATTATTTCACCCCTATCCTCCAAGCCTGTGCCTAAAACCAAACCCCTCCCTACACACCTTTGTATGTGGTTTTGGTTTTGGGTTTCAGTTACATGCTGTGATCTGTGGTCTGAAGGGAACATGATTGAGGTACTTGGAAAGACACCAGGTGCACATAATTTGTCTGAACTGTTCGATGTTATTATTGGCTATTGTTGTTCAACTCTCCCTAATTTATAAATTAAAGTTTGTCATGGGAATGCACATAGAGGAGGCAACGTGGTATAAGGTTTGGTACTCACCGTGTTTAGGCATCACCTGAGACGTATTTCCAGGGGGAAACAGGCCCGGGAGCTAAGTCAGCCCTTGAGACCTCATGGTTAGCCTCAGGGGATGAGAGGTGCCCCTCGGGGCTCCACCCAGCAGGAGACTCTAGTAACGCCAATTGGGCACTCAAACCATGAGTTATTTTCTGTATTCATACTAACCCGTAAATATTCTAAAATGACCTGTTCTCAATTATTTTCCCTCTTTTATAATTGAATATAGGATGAGCAGATACAAAATAGACCGCTTTGAGAAAGTCTTCAAGCCTGAAAGGCTGTTTTCCTGGAAAGGAATTAAGTGAGTATTCATTTGCAGATTTTCAGGAAGCCATTTTATCCTCAGAAACTGAATTCTATCAGGGGATCTGGGGGTCTATCAGGTCCCTGTGGGGTCTGGCCTGGCTCTGTCTGGCCCAGGAAGCAGACTTTGGTGTGGGCTGTGGGGAGAGGTCTCCACCCTCCTTCTCCTGAGAGTCCCCAGCCAGTTGGTCAGTCGTGGACTTTGCCCAGCCACTCAAGTTTTGTTCTTTCTGGGTGATAGAATTCATCAGCCACCGGTGCAGTCATTTATTCACAGTTTATTGATTCTGCTTTATAAAGAATATGGTTGTGGTGTGCTGGATCCAGATGGTACTCACCTTGTTTCAGGCATCCCCGAGATGTATTTCAAGGGGTCTAGTGGACTGTCTCCTGAACCTTATGGGCCTTGTGGTCTGAGCGGCCGAGAACTGGGTCTGGTGCTCTGAGTACTGGGTGCCTCAAGCACTGGGTCTGCTGGTCTGAGTACTGAGTCTTTGGCCCGAGCACTGGGTGTGTGTTCTGGCTGTGTGCTGTCTCACTGCTTCATGGCCACGCCACTCTGCGCCCCCAGCCTTGGTGCTCATCTTGAAGCCCCCTAGCTTGGTCTTATGTGACCATCAGCACCTGTTCCCCTCCGTGTGGCCATTTCCTTGCTCATCTCAGGGTGCTTTCTGGGGAAGGGTTGTAGCTCCCTGGACAAAACCATGTACCAAGTCTACTTGCTGGCACTGGGGAGAGATCTGGTGAGGAGCGTGTCCTGTTTGCCATGTCCTTCCCGTGGGCTTCAGTATCACATCGTCAGCTTTGGCTGTAGCAGTTCAAGGGGCCATCAGTTGAGACATTCTCTGTGAAGCTCCTGTAAACCAGGTTCAGTGGGTTTTCTGCAGATAGCCCCCCTCCCCCTTGCAGACACACCAGAGTGTATAGGGCCAAGTTTCTAGAAACTTCCTTTGCACTGTTGTCATGGAGGTGACACAGCCTGTTATTCCTCAATAGGCAGAGAGAAATGAAATATGCATATCTGCATCTTGGCATTTGACTGCAGCCCCTTCTCTCTAACTCGTTCCATTTTAATCGGCCTTTATTTTCTTTAAACCTGGTTGATCAGTGTGTAGGAAAGAAAGGAATATGGAAGGATATTTAAAGGATATTTCCATTAAAAGGATATTTAATAAAAGACTGTTGGAGTAGAATTACGGTCAGGGGGTGACAGAGTACCCTGACCACAGTTGGCTTTGCTCTCATCCTGGTTTGGAATCACCAGAGCCCCTTAGCGCTAATCAGCACCCCCCATCTCCCCTCCTCACCGCCCCCCCCACACACACACATCACTCTCTCCGTCCCGTCCCAGTGTCCCTGAGTGTTGCCTACCTTCACTCTCTGGAGCAGTTGTGACAGCTGGCAAGCCCTTTCAGGGGCCAGGCTGTGTCCTGGAGCAGATGATACTGGCGTGTGTGACTACCATCCCCAGCGTCCCAGAGAGGAAGAGAACCTGGGACACTTGGCCAGGAGCGAGCTTCCTGGGCCTCTGATCTCAGTTCTTGTTGCTTTAACATGCATTTTTCTCACAAGAGCAGAGTTTTACTTATTTTTGTGTTTTGGGCTTTACCTGGCTGTGCTCAGGGCTTATTCCTGGCTGCGTGCTCAGGGATCACTCCTGGCAGAGCTCAGGAGACCCACTGTGGTGCTGGGGATTGAACCCAGGTCAGGGTGTGCAAGGCCAGTCTCTCCTGCCCCTGTTTAAGGTTTAAATCATTCTACTCTCAGTCATGCCATTTGATTCTCCTCCTTGGGACTTGCAACAAAAGTTTCACCCAGAGTGAGGGCTGCTGTAGGGTGTCTGCACACTGGTTTCCTTTCATTTCCTGAAAACTCCTTGCTATCCCAACTCTCAGCCTGTTTTGCTTCCCCTCTCTCCTAGCTTTGTGATGGTCAACAGTGTTGCCATGGAAGGAGACGGATGTGAAATTTGCTCTGAAGCAGAAACTGAACTCATTGAAATCTCCCGCAGACTGAACTGCTCCCGAGAGGTAGGCGCTGCACCTTCGCACTGGTGCTTCTCTGGGCAGCCTCGCAGCCCCGCCTCCCTGAGCTGACTGATTTTTCTCCAACAGGAACACGGTTCCTACCAGTGTAGACACAGGCAGCGGCTGCCAGCCTCAGCCCCAATCCTTCTGCAGGTGAGCGGAGTTCATGGGTTTGCAGGGACGGTTCAGCAGTCTCTAACACCACATCTGATTCCTCTCTGAATCCTGGGCAGCATTTCCCGCTGTATCGGAGAAGCGATGCGAACTGTTCTGGCGAGGACGCAGCCCCTCCTGGGGAGAGGGACCTGCCTTTCAAGGAGAGATACGATGCGCTTTCCAGGGAGGCTTCCCAGAAGGTGAGCTAGCGGCCAGACATGTGCTTTTGTGATTATCGATCAGGGTTTGGTGATGCCTCATATTTTCATGTCATTGCTTTGTTTCTATCTCTCCCGCCCCGCCCCGCCCCGCCCTTAAATAGCAGTGAATGTACTTCTATTTGCTGATATCGAATTAATAACTATCTCAGTTATTTTTTTTTCTTTTTGGGTCACACCTGGCAATGCAAAGGGGTTACTCCTGGCTCTGCACTCAGGAGTTACTCCAGGCGGTGCTAAGGGGACCATATGGGATGCTGGGAATCGAACCCGGGTCGGCCTCGTGCAAGGCAAACGCCCTACCCCGCTGTGCTATCTCTCCAGCCCCTATTCTTTTTTTTTTTTTAAAGGAACTTTACAGACAGTTCTTTTTTCTTTGGAGGGTAAGGTTATTTTTGTTTGGGGGCCACATCCACTGAAGCTCAGGAGTTATTCCTGGCTCTGTGCTCCTGGTTCATTCCTGGTGGGACTCTGGGTACTGTATGAAATGACAGGGATTGAACCTGGATCTGCCATGGGATCTGCCATGGGATAGGCACCTACCTTGCAGTGCTAGCTCTCTGGCCCCACAGAGTTCATTTTTTAAATTATTAGGCTTTCATTTTTTTTAAAGGGTCTTGGGGGGATTCTTTGGACAGTTCACTTTTAAAATCAATTACTGTATTTTCATTCCTTTTTAAGGGGTGTTGAAGGAGTCTTTGGGCCACAACTGTTGTTGCTCTGTTCTTACTTTTAGCTCTGTGCTCAGGGAGTCACTTGTGGCAGTGCTTGAGGAACCATATGCAGTGCTGGGGATCAAACTGGGGCCAGCTGTGTAGAAGGCCTTACTTCCTGTACTATCTCTGTGGTCCCTAAATTATTCTTTACTCTTACTCAACTTTTCTCACCAATCTGAATGGGACTTAAAATGTGCCTACATGATGCATATGTAGCTCTAAGCTAAATTAATAAAAGTGCTTCTAAAATATTACAATTAAAAATCTGGGATGAGATTATATTGTCTCTAAGAACCTGTACTTTTTTTTTTCTTTTTGTGTCATACCCAGCAATGCTCAGGGGTTACTCCTGGCTGTGCACTCAGAAATTACTCGTGGCGGTGCTGGGGCGACCCTATGGGATGCCAGGGATCGAACTTGGGTCGGCCGCATGCAAGGCAAACGCCCTACCAGCTGTACTATTGCTCTGGCCCCACTTTTGTTTTTGTTTTGGGGCCATGCCTGACAGTGCTCAGGGTTTACTCTTGACTCTGCTCAAGGATCACTTCTGGCTGGACTCTGGGCACCGTATGAGGTGCTCTGGGTGAACAGGGGTCTGCCGGTGCAAGGCCAGAGTTCTACCCACTATACTGTCTCTCTCACTGCAATACCAGAACTTACTTTTCATAATAATTTCAGTGTTATTTTTAAACTGAGATGTTAAAACTTAGTTGAAAATAAGTTCAACTTACTCCTTGGAGTAAGTTTAGTCTGTCAGGATAAAGTGTTCTTAAGGGCGAGTTTTGTCTTTCCCGTACTGTAGTAGCTACTCCAGACTCACGTGCATCCGCCCCCCTCTGCTTTCTCGCCCCCAGCTGCTGTGGTGGCTGCGGCCACGGCTGGTGCTGAGCGGCCACACACACCACGGCTGCCAGGTGTTCCATGGGGCAGGCCTCCCAGAGCTCAGCGTGCCATCCTTCAGTTGGCGGAACAGAAACAACCCGAGTTTTGTCATGGTAACTGGAACGTTTATTTCCATCAGAAAGCTTTTATACGTATTGAAGTCAACACAGTATTCAACTACATCATTGCTGCTATCTGTTACAAATATATAAAGATCATAAATAAACTCTCCCACGGCACACAAACGCTAAGTTCAATATGAGCCCCCTATCCAAATGCTCTCTGAAGACAAACCCAGAGGGTGGAGATGGTTCCTGGAGGGTCAGGGTGAGCCTCAGCAGAGGGATTTACCTCTCAGGATGGCAGTGCCTCTGATACTAGGCTCTGTATGTTCAACTTCCAAAGGAAACAGCATTGGTTATTCATCACCTACACTCTTATTTTTTGCCTTTTTGTCTGCACATACCCATCTTCCCTGGAAGGAAAAAAAATACCATTTGCCAGGAAATAAATCTGTTTCTATTAATAACCACCTGATGGTTCAGCTTCACATTTTCATCCCTGGGCTCCACATTCCAGTTCATTATGCTGATTTATTTATGTATTTTGGGGGCCCATTCCCAGCAGTGCTCAGGGCTATTACTTCTGGCTCTGTGCTCAGGGATTACTCTTGGTGGTGCTTGGGGGACCCTGTGAGATGCCTGGGATTAAACCTGGGTCAGCTGCATGCAAGGCAAGTGCCCTACCCACTGTGCTGCTGAACTGGCCCCGCCGTTCATTATGCTTTTATGTCAGGTGCTTTTGCCTTCATAAAAAGATGGAGGAACCCTCCTGTCTTCAATTCAAAATAAATGAAAGCATTCTCCACTGCCATCCACATAACAGAGATGACTGCCCCCAGCCCCCCACCCCTACCCCCAACATTGAGATGTCCCCTGGGCATGTGTATTTCTAGGTAAGAGTTTATTTAAAATAAATAAACTAAGATAGCATCAAGTGGCATGAAAAATAAATCGCTTTGGATTCCTTGTTTCTGGACGATACTGGCTCTAGATGTCAACTGCGTCACTGATAGATGCAGCTCTTTCTGCGTTGGTCAACATGCCACTGTATTTTTTTGTTTATCTTGTTTTAATGCTACACCTGGTGGTGCTCATGGCTTACTCCTTGCTCTGTGCTCAGGGATCAAGGATCACTCCTGGCAGGGCTCAGGGGATCCTATGGGTTACCAGGCAAGCACCAGTCTTCTGTCCTATTTCTCTAGCCCCCACCATATTTTAGAAGAACTTGTGGTTCTGGTTTTAGTTTGCAGTGGGGAGGCCAGCACCTTATCTTTTCCCACTCAGCACTCTTGGACCTTCCTTTCCCTGGCCAGTGCTTGTGGTGGGCAAGTGGTCGTCTGACTCGGCGGAAGGCTGGGCCCTTTCCTCTGTGGATTGTAAGTCATGCTGATGTGTGGGGGCTCACACTGCTACTCACGGACTCACTTCCCTTTCAGGGCAGCCTGACGCCCAGAGACTATGCCCTCGCCAAGTGCTACCTCCCCACAGAGACCACGGTGCTCGCCACGTACGCTGGGACAGCGGGGCTGCTTGTGATCCTTGTATTGCTTCACTTGAAGTGTCTACCCTCACCGTTTCATTTTGGTTGGAGCCTACTCTGGAAATATAAGACAAAGTGAGGAGCCAGAGACCTCTGCATTGAGTCCTAAATCACAAAGCCAAGGACATGGAACTTCGGGCAGTGCTCAGGTGAGATGACACCAAAATAGGCTACCTTGATGTACATCGCAGGAGTCCTGAGTCACCGGTGTGACTCACAGGAGGGTACCTAGTTGATTCTACTGTTCTCATGCTATAAAAATGGGACACGTACTCTACAACAAGTCTGTTTTCTCATTTTATCAAATATATGTATAATCAAAGGTTGTATCTGTACAGTATTTAAAAGCTATTAATGTCATCATTTGCATGCACTAGAGAATCTCTCCTTCTCCAAGATGGAGCCTGCAGCCCTGGGACACAATCGGGATTATGTGAGCATAGACAGTGGATTTGCTTTGTCCATAACGTGGTTCTCAAATTCCTTTCTGTTTTAATTCTGTACACTTAAAAGTATGGATACTACCAGAAAGAATATATTGGTTTTGCAGATGTTTGTACTTCAGTGCTACATGAGGAATCCAGATTTTAAGATACTATTTTTCTCTCCAGAGGACCAAGTTTTAAAATCTGGATTTCATACTTGCTTGTGATCAAGAGAAACTTGAAATATGAACCAGGATATTGTTTTTGATATTTAAACATGTGGATAATTAGAAGCCTGACCTGATAAAATCGGGGTGTGTGTGTGTGTGTGTGTGTGTGTGAGAGAGAGAGAGAGAGAGAGAGAGAGAGAGAGAGAGAGAGAAAGACATCTGGCCCTGTAGCTTTTGTTTGCTTGTTTGTTTTGGGATCAAACTCAATGATGCTCAGCAATCACTCCTGGCGGTGCTGGGGGACTATATGGGATGCTTGGGATTGAACCCCGGTTGGCTATGAGCAAGGCAAGCACCCTACCTGCTGTACTACTGCTCTGGGCCCTGGCAATGTAGCTTTTAAATAGGAAGTTAGAGGAAAATTGTTGAGAAGGAAAGCATAGACTGTACAGTTAACTTCAATTTTGTGTGTGTGTGGGTGCATATCTTTAGATTTCATGTTTTACTTTGAAGATACAATGTGAAATGAAAACAGTCTCCACTGTATATATTTTAAGTTCAAATGAGTTTTATGAAATGGGAACTTGGTAACAATGAAATAAAGTGTGTTTCTGCTATTCATTGTCTATAAAGTGTGATCCTTCTTTTCATGGAAAAGTATCACCAAAATTTGGAAGAGTTTGTAAGGATTAAAAAAATGCTGATTGATAGATTAGACTTTAAAATATTACAAAAACCAAAAGTTCAGGAGGAAATGAATGCATCAGTGTTGTTGGATTAGACTCACTTTTTTGGACTTGCATTGTTTAATGTACTTTGAGAATCTTCACAGATTATCTTCAACCTAAGAAAACTACCCACAAGCTGTGTCTGTAATGTGAATTTGAAGTATCAGCAGACCTTGATCTTGCTTTCTAGCTACTGAGCCAGCATGTTTGAAGCTGCACTTGCAAATATTTCAGGTGTGAAAATAGCCATATAGTCTGACTTAATCTATCAAATACAATGTTCTTAATGATTGTTATTCACAAGCCAAATGAAGATGCCATGTTTTGATTCTCCTGGGCCAGACACAAACATTGATAAATTCTGGTCTTTTTCTTTCTCTTTATGATAGAGCCTGTGATCATGCCCAGGGGCCAAATGCTATGATTAAGGGAATGGCGGGTCTCTCCACTCAGGGAACATGTGGACGTCTCTAAAAGGCAAAATGACTGAGAAACACACTGTCTGGGTGGGGGAAAAAAATCTTGAGAACCCTGAAAGAAACTGTGGTACAGCATTCTTCATAAGATGTATATGAGGCTTACATATCATATATCTATAATTCCTTTATTTGATTATATATATATATATATAATCAAATAAAGGAATTTTTTAAAAGTACCAACATGAAAAAAAATGTTCTAAACTCTACAGGTACCGTTCATTCCCTTTTTCAGAGCAAGTGACAGAGAATGTTGACATTTAGCTGTTCAGCACAAAAAGAACACATTATTATTATTATTTTTACAAGTATAGCCATGGTCAAGGCACAAAGAACTATGAGTATTTCTCTTTAGTAGTTGTACAAAATAAGGTTACATTTGGTAAACCAGCAACAAACCAACAGCAAAAGATAATATGTGGAAGGAGAATAATGACCAAGCAGAGTGAAAGCTGGAGAAGCCTTTGACTGAGAGGCAGGACTTGGTTTGCAGGATTGAGCAAGTATGACAGGTCAGTCGCCTACTGGAAAGGCTCAAAGTTGAGTGGAAAGGCCTGAGGCTGGCAGCAAAGGGCCTGCTTCTAGCAGCAGGTAGATGTGGACTCATGGGGCCGTTTGCCACCCACCCCTCCATGTGTCCTCAGCTAAAAAGTTGAGGGGCTCAGCTCCTTCCTGCATGGGCCTCTCCTCCCCTGCAGGAGAGCTGAATAAAAGTGCATTTCTCACCTGTCTGCAAAGTCAGCAAGAATTGGTAGGTGATGATCTAGTTACTGCACAACTCCGAGGGGGCCACCCCAGATTTCCCTGCTGCCTCCCAAGAGAACGGAGGGGGCAGACAGTGAGTCCAACTGCTGGGGGTGGGGTGAGAGATGGTGGCAGGTCAAGTTCAATGGAAACAAAAGCTACGGCACCAACCCCGAGGGGGCAGGAGGGAGGGCAGAGGTAGCCAGCAGCTAGGGACACCAGGGCATACGCAGGAAGGAGGGGACAAGGGGACTCACTACTTTCTCCCAGGGCTTGGCCCACACAGGCAGTCCGGGGCGGAGGGCCGCACCTCACAAGAGTTCGTACTGTTTGAGATGCATCCTCTGGATGATATCTCGGCAGTCATTGAACACCCGGCGGATGTTCTCCGTGTCCACGGCGCAGGTGAAGTGTGGGTAGCAGTAGTGTTTGCCGTCTCCCGTGGCTGTGCTGATCCTCTGCAGAAACATACCCAAAAAACCATCAGCCCAGTGGCCCTGGGCCCCGGGAATTCTGGGGTGAGTCTCCAGCAAATTTCAGGTAAGTCTGCAGGTGGAGGAAGTGGGTAATAATCGACTGGACAGAGAGCAATGGGGGTGATCCTGCTGGAACACCAAATATTGAGTGGGATTCTGCTCCCTCAGAACCCTGCCTCAGCCCACAGAAGCTCAGACTTGCGCTGAGACAGAGCCTCTATTTCAAAGTCAGCCTCTGAAAAAGGGGTTTTTCCAGAAATTAAGATACAGACCAGAACCTTCCCCTAGAACTTTGTGCAAAGGAATGTTTTGTGGAAACTTGTTGGGAACTGTCTTTGGTAGCCCCTGCTTGTTTTCCCTGAGAAGGGAATGAGCAGGGGGGAAAACTGGGCATGTGGGCATACCATGCCCTGGTGGCTTACCCTGTAAAGGGGGGCCAAAGGGAAGGCTGCACCTGATCGGCCTTCGCCGGGCCAGGAGCCACATTCTCATTCCTGAACTGCCTGCATACGCAGTTGCAAAGCAGAATAACAGATAACGGCTCACTCAACTTGTAACCCTCGGCTTTCCCACGGAGTGTTCGCTGCATACTATAAAAGAAAGTGAGCTTTGGAATAAAGTCGCCATATGTTTCATGCAGTCCTCCCTACCCCGTCTTCACCTTTCATTCCCTCTCTCTGGTCGAAGTTCAAGTTGGCTGTGCGGGACACAGCAGCTCTTTCCGGGCTGAAGTGTCCTCAGGGATTGAATTTCTAGTTCTCTTTTTTTGGTTTTGGGCCATACCCGGAAATGCTCAGGATCACTCTTGGTGGGGTTAGAGAACAGCATGCTGCCATGCCAGGATCTGAACGTGGATTGGAACCACGCAGGGCAAGGGCCTTAGCTGTTGCTTTTCACATCTCTGTCTTGCTCTACTCTCTTGCCTTGCTTCAGGGGACTGAACCCCAGCATGTTGCAGGCAAAGATGCCAGGGTTCAATGTTCAACCCAATGAGCTATCTCCTTAGTTCGGATTCTGTATAGGCAGTTTCGAGGTACTGTTGCCTTCTCCTTGCTGAACACCTGTGCCTGGTCTGGTCTTAGTTATGAGGTATGCCATGAATTCCCAAGGAAGGGAATTGGGGAATTAGAAAAAAAGCCTGAAAGAGCTGACTGTGGTGCTGTTCCTTCAGGCACCTAGGATAGCGGGGTCTGTTTCCCCCTGGGTCCTGTCCTTGTCGGAAGCTCTGCGTCCTGAGATGAGTCTAAGAGCTCTCACTACAGTGTGCTCTGTCTGCTATGTTATAAAATAATCATTTTCTCTCCTGGTTTATCATTTGGAGGAGATGGAATGAGACCCCTAGAAGGGAAATGACTTGCTAATTAGGAAGAACAAAAGCACTTGAAGGTATCAGGGGAAAAAACAAAGGTTACCAAAAAAAAAAAAAAAAGATGTACTTACCAAAAATAGATCGCGGATGAAGAACTTTGCTCTTGTCACTTTGGGATCTTCTCCTGCATCTGGTGTCGCTGTAAAAATGACAAATGGAACTGCATGTTAGCAATGTGAGGCCGAAAGACAGTTCTGCAGACAGGATGGTTCTCAGTTGGGCTGCTGTGCACTCAAAGCATTAAAAGACATCAAAAATGAGACTAACTGGGCCGTAGAGATAGGACAGTAGGTATGGCGCTTCCCTTCCATGTGGCTGACCTGGGTTCAATCCCTGCTACCCTAACATGATCCTCTGCACCCACCAGGACTAATCCCTGAGCACAGAGCCAGGCCTAAGAACTGCCGAGTGTGGCCCAGAAAACAGAGAACAAAAAGTGAGACTGACTTCACTGCTATCTCTCCTCACAAACCATTTTCCTTTTGACGAGGAGAGCCTCTGAACACCTTGGTGGTGGTGTAAAGCTCCCTCTCATGAGAAGTGTAAGGCCTGTGGAGAACATTCCCCTAGCCGCTGTCTACACCCGCAGAGTACCCAGCCTGCAGGTTGCCTCCTAAAAGCTTGGAGACAGGCCCTGGCCTCTGCTCCTTGAGCTGCTCCTCATCCCACCAGCCCCGTGAGGGAGACCCCGCTTCCCAGTTCCCACTGAGACCCAGGCCGCTGGAGCCCCTTTGCTGCTTGTCACCGTTTGCCATGATGTGGTAAAGGTAAAGGCCCTCCCGTTGATCGTCGATTTGCTCGAGCGGGCCCAGTAACGTCTCCATTGGAGACTTTGTTGTTACTGTGTCTGGCATATCGAATACTCTCGGTAGCTTGCCGGGCTCTCCGAGAGGGGCGGAGGAATCGAACTCGGGTCGGCCATGTTGGCCGCTTGTAAGGCAAACGCCCTACCCGCTGTGCTATCGCTCCAGCCCTCATATAGTATTTCCTAGGGACCCAGGAAGTCAATTTTCCTAGACTCATGGCCCCTGTGAGTGTTCCGTCTCTCTTCTCAGTGTGGCTGTGGCAGTGACCTTATCGGTCACATTGCACACAGTGGAAGGAAGCTCTGTGGGTTCAGGAAGGGCCCAGCTGAGGCAGGTATGGCTCAGGGTACAAGAGAGGAGAGTGACGGGGAGCACACAGGGGAAAAGTAGGAGTCCACTGGACAGAAGTAAAGTGCCTGCGGAGCATGGGGGGAGAGGAGATCACTAAGCCCAGGGTATCGAGAGAGGAGCACAGGACACGGAGCAGGTAGGGAACCCATCTGTGGTATTGCCTTGGCCTGGCTGGCCTCTTAGCTCATGCTGAGCTGATACAGCCTCTCATCATTGATGGTTCGTTGGGATCACCAGTAGGGTGATGATTGTGTTTCAGAAAATGACTTTGGCAGAAGTTTAAAAAATGTTCTGGAATGATTCTGGAAAGTTCTGGAAAGATGTTGAACAGGAGCGAAGAAAATGGTGCAGAGGGTTTGGAGTGACAGCACAGTGGTAGGGTGTGTCTTGCATGCAGTTGACCAGAGTTTGATTTTGATCCCTAGCAGCCCATAGGGTCCACCTGAACCTGTCCGGAGTGCTCCCTGCACACAGAGCCAGGAGTGAGCCCTGAGCACCACCAGGTATGGCTCAAAAAACAAACAACACAAAGGAAAACGGCTCAGACATTCAGATTTGGAATCAGTGATTTGAAGATTGCTGTGTCCTCACAGGCTCTGTCTGAGGGCCATTCCTTTCCTCCACATGAGAGTAACAGAAACGACCATGTGAGGTCAGGGTGAAGGTTGAGGAACAGGGCTGGTAAGGACACAATGAACCCAACCCAATGGTAGCACCATGAGGCAGGACATAGCAAATGACAGTCACCCATGGCGTCCTTCTCTGTTGCTCCTGGTGAACAGAGAGATAGCCACATATTTGAATACTCTAGTGGAGAGGCTAGGGATAGAGAGGAGTGATGTAAGTTCATGGGGTTATTTGAATTCAAGTCATTTGTTGCCTTCGCTGCCAAGATGTGAGCTGAGAATGCATCATTGGGCAACATTTGTGAATGTCGAGTTGACTTACACAAACCTAATGGGTACAGCCAGTGACATACCTTGGCTATATGCTATTACCTATTGGTGCCCCCGTTCACCAAAATGTTAACAATAGGGTGATTAAAACATAATTCCTGTTTTATTTTTGTTTTTGGGCCACACTTAGATGTGCTCCAGGCTTATTCCTGGTTCTGTGTGCTCCTGGTGAATTTGGGGGGGGGCCGGTGAGGGGTGCCAGTCTGCCACGTGCAAGGCAAGTACCTGCTGTACTATCGCTACAACTCCTAATTTCTTTGTTTTTTTGTTTTTGGGTCACACCCAGTGATTCTCAGTAGTTACTCTGGGCTCTGTATTCAATAATCACTCACTCCTGGCAGTGTTTGGGGAACTAGGTGCCGGGAACTGAACCTGGGTTGGACACGTGCAAGAAGCGTCATACCGGCTGTACTATTGCTCTGCCCCCCAAATTTTATTTCTTAATCTTGAGAAACTTGTGTCAAAATCTTACCATCTTCGGGAACAGTATAATTTGCATACTCTGGGAAATAATCTTCAATTTTTGATTTCCCTGCCAAGACTTTTTCTGCCAACATATCCTGTTTGTTCAAGAACAAGATGATAGAAATGGTTCGTAACCACCTGAAAAGGAGAAAGAAACATACATTTAGCTTTTGCTAGCATGTCAAGGTAATTGCAAAGTTGGAGTTACCCAGTGGAAAGAACATTACCGTCTTTCTGAAAACAAATAGGATTAAGAATATTTTGTTATATTAATATTTCAAGCCCCCCCATACAAGCAAGACGTTTTATAATGATAAAGACATGATGTACCTAAAGCAGCACACATGTGTTTGGTTTTAACATACTTGCTTGTATTCTTTGTCCCTCTCGGAGAGCCCGGCAAGCTACAGAGAATATCCCGCCCACACGGCAGAGGCTTGCAAGTTACCTGAGGCATATTTGATATGCCAAAAATGGTAACAAGAACGGGCCTCATTCCCCTGACCCTGAAAGGGCCTCTGATACGGCAGCATTGGGAAAGATGAGTAAGGAGAGGCTGCTGAAATCTCAGGGCTGGAACAAATGAGATGTTACTGGCGCTCGCTCGAGTAAATTGATGAACAGCGGGGATGACAGTGACAGTGATACAGTGAAAGACATGCCAATAATTAGATCTGGGAGACTCCACTGGACAAAACTAAACGGAGGGACTCAGGTACTGCAAAGATGAAGGGTGTTAAGTTTTTCTCTGTGTTTTATCAAAAACAAGCAGAAAACTGGCTTAAGACAAGTTCAACTGTGCAAATTACTAAACACTTGAAAATTCCATTACTTAAAAGGAATTGAACTGACTGAGAAAGTAGGGCACAGAACTTTCCTAGGGGTTAGAAACAAAACCCATTCTCTCTGAAATAGAAAGCGTTATTATTTCTCCCAGTTACATAGTTCTTATACATGAATTGATACTTCATACATAGATGAATCTTTAATTATTAAAAAAGACATATTATACCCAGAAACAACTACTATGAAAATTTCTATAATTTTGTTTTCAGGGTTTGTTTCTGTCATCATGCATTAAAGCAAACTAAATCCTGAAGTTTTAGAATCTGTTTTTCCACTGAAATATTGTGATGATTTCCCATATTTCTCTCTAAATATACATCAATACCTTTATCTATTTACACCTATCTAGATCTCTCTCAGTCTATGATCTATCTCTGCATGTGTTTATACATACACACACACACACACACATACATATACACACTTGTATGACTCCAAAGTAGTGTTCCTCTGTATACCCAGTCATCCATTTTCTTAATTCTATGAGATTGGGAGCAGCTGTTGAACAATGGGTAGAGAAATACTTTTTATTTATTTTTTTTGCTTTTTGGGTCACACCTGGCGATGCACAGGGGTTCCTCCTGGTTCTGCACTCAGGAATGACTCCTGGCGGTGCTCAGGGGACCATATGGGATGCTGGGGATCGAACCCGGGTTGGCCGCGTGCCTGGCAAATGCCCTCTGCACTGTGCTATCGCCCCAGCCCCGAGAAATACTTTTTAGACAATTTAAACCCTTCGTAAGTTTAGCTTAGACTTCTTGTCTTTAGTGACTTTTTTTCCTAGATACTTCAGAAGAAGCCACTGAGCTACTAAAGGAGGTTTTAAATGGCACTCAATTTAAAATTTAGAAAAAAAAATTTAGAAAAACAGGGCCAAAGAGATAGTACAATGAATGGGGCTTTTGCCTTATAGCTGGCTGACCTGAGTTCCATCTCCAGCATCCCATATAGAACTCTGAGCACTTCCAGGAGCGATCCCTGAGTACAGAGCCACGAGTAAAATCTGAGCACTGCCAGAAGTTATCCCTGTGTGCAGCGCCAGGAGTATGCGCTAAATATCCCAGGTATGATCGCAAAACAACAACAATAGAAACAATTTTAGAAAAAAAAAACCACTTAGGCCATCTACTATATTAGGCTTTCAAAACAGATTTAGATTTTCCTGGCAAAGCACGAGGAAGAGTTTCCTTAGGGAATATACCCTATTTCGTCTTTCTATACACTAAATGGATTAAGAGAGACTTCCAATTGAGTAGAGATTCACCAGTAAGGAAAGCATCTGTCTAGAGCACAGAACCAAAAGTGAGCTGAGCTATGGGTTTTCAGGAAGGAACGTTGCAAGCTACAGAGACAGTGAACTTTGTTATCACCTGTTGTTCCAGATGCTCTCGAAGAGGTCCAGAGACTCTCGCAGCCGGTTGGTGTTGTTATCTTCCCGGATCACCATGTTGTAGCTGCTGCAGGCGGCCACATAGATGATGGCAGTGACATCTGAGAGGGAGGGAAGGCAGGAAACCCTTAGACACGGCCGACGTAGCCTGCTGACAGCATCTGCGGATGGCGTCTGCCACTGGCCACTGCCCACACCCTGGGATCTTTCCCTCCAAGACCATGGCAGTGAACGAGAGCAAGCACTGTATGTAGAGAGGGTGATTTCTACCTGTCTGGCCAGGAGCCTTCTCAGATGAGTGAATGACAGGTGTATATATGGGACCCTTCAAGTCTTTACTGAGGAGACTGCTAGAAAAGAAGCTTATTTTTTTTTTATGGATCATCTGGGCTTGCCTTGCACATAGCTGGCCTGGGTTAGGTCCCTGGCATCCTATATGGTACCCTGAATGATCCCTGAAACCCCAGAGCACCGCTGGGTGTGGCTCATCCCCCCAATTAAAATAATAATAAAATAGGTGATCTAAATCAAAATTTCTTCAACACAAGTGGCAGGAATGAAAGTGAAGTTGAAAGGCCAGAACAGAAGGAGAGAGACAAACGGAATAATCTCTCATCTTGGGAGATAAAAAAAATCAAAGTAGGGCAATAATGAAGGCCCAAGGGTAACAGAAACAAAGATCCTGAGAACTGGTCTTTAGTACGAAGCATGCCCATACAGGGAGAAGACGGGATGGGAGGGGACACTATGACAGTGGTTGAGACAAGTGGTCATTCTGGAGGAGGACACAGTGAGGAAGGAGCTAATGTGATATGTCTGAAACCATATAAGTAACAGCATTGCAAACCACGGTGGAAAGAACAGAAAGGAGAAGGAGAGAGCTCCTGCCATGGAGGCAGGCTGGGGGACTGGAGGGAAACTGGGGACATAGGTGGAATGAGATGGACACTGGTAGAAGGAGGAGTGTGGGATCACTGGACACCTAAAACCTAGTCATAAATAACTTTGCAATTTACAGGGATTCAATCGATTTGCTCACGCGGGCCCAGTAACATCTCCATCGTGAGACTTGTTGTTACTGTGTTTGGCATATCGAATACATCACGGGAGCTTGCCAGGGATTCAATAAAAAAGAAAAAAAGAAAAAACAATAAAATGCTGAGCCAGTCACCGTTGAAGCACTGGATCCATTTTCTTCTCTCGTCCCTCTGGCCGCCGACATCGAACATGCTGCGGGAGCAACAGGCCACAGTTACTGGATGCAGGGGCTTGCACGCTCTGCAGCTGTGCTGCTGTCTCTGTATGAAAGTGCATGTGGTATGCGTGTGTGTGTGTGTGTGTGTGTGTGTGTGTGTGTGTGTGTGTGTGCGCATGCATGTGAGTGTGTGAGAGACAGATCTTGGAGGGTATGTCTTAATTTGGGGTGTGTCTAGGATCTCAGGGTGTGTGATCTTGGAGGTGTGTGTCTGATCTTGGGGGCATCTATGGTGTTGGAGATGTGTGATCTTTTGGTGTGTGTGTTTAATCTTGGGGGTATATGATCTTGGGAGGGTATGGGACCATGGGGTGTGTGTGTGATCTTGGGGGGGTGTTGGTGTGATCTCAGGGTGTTTATATGTGTGTGTGTGTGTGATCTTGGAGGGTATATCTGTGATCCTGGGATGTGTCTATGATCTTGGGATGTGTGTGATCTTGGGGATGTGAATGATCTTGGGGTGTGTGTGTGATCTTGGGGGGGTGTTGGTGTGATCTCAGGGTGTTTATATGTGTGTGTGTGTGTGTGATCTTGGAGGGTATATCTGTGATCCTGGGATGTGTCTATGATCTTGGGATGTGTGTGATCTTGGGGATGTGAATGATCTTGGGGTGTGTGTGTGATGTTGGGGGGTGTTGGTGTGATCTCAGGGTGTTTATATGTGTGTGTGATCTTGGAGGGTATTTCTGTGATCCTGGGATGTGTCTATGATCTTGGGATGTGTGTGATCTTGGGGATGTGTCTATGATCTTGAGGGGTGTCTATGGTGTTGCGAGGGTGTGACCTGGAGGGTGTGATCTTTGGGTGTGTGTGTGTGTGTGTGTGTGTGTGTGATTTTGGGGGGGTGTGATCTTTGGAAGGTGTGTGATCATAGGGTGTGTATAAATGATCTCGGGATGTGTGTTTGTGTGATGTTGGGATGTGTGTGTGTGTTTGTGTGTGATCTTGGAGGGTATGTCTTTGATCCCAGGGTGTGTCTATGATCTTGTGGTGTGTGTGTGTGATCTTGGGGATGTATGTCTATGATCTTGGGATGTGTGTGATTTTGGGGGTGGGTCTATGGTCCTGAGGAATATCTATGGTGTTGGGGGGTGTGACCTTGGAGTGTGATCTTTGAGGGTGTGTGTGTGTGTGATCTTGAGAGGGTGTGAGATCATGGGGTATGTGTGAATGATCTTGGGGTGTGTGTGAATGATCTTGGGGTGTGTGATCTTGGGGTATGTGTATGATCTTAGGGTGTGTGTGTGTGTGTGTGTGTGTGTGTGTGTGTGTGTGTGTGTAGGGGCCCTGCTGGGGAGTTTGGTGTCTCCCAGTTGGCTGAGGGCTCAACACCTGATTTCTCTGGGTCACAGCAATGTGCACACATGCTGAGTTCCTGGATGACTCTGTACCTGGCTATCCCCACACCTCACTTCTGACTCTCAGATCTGTGCTCCTTCCCTGCACCTAATACAAGTCCTTTAGGGACACACAGTCAGACACGTAGTGGGGTGGCAGTTCCATTCTGGGGTTCCACTCCTCACAGCCTGTGCTTCAGGCTGAGTGCCCTGAACCACGACCCCTGGCCTTCCCATCACCTGCCAGGGCAGGCCATGACCCGCACACTTACTGGAAGTTTACTTTGTCCACTTGGAATCGAGTCTCAAAAATACCCGAGGTCAGCACTCTGCATCTGAGAAGGTCCTGAGAAGAAGAAAGAATGAAGCAAGTGATATCATTGCTCTTACACAGACCAATCACTCAAGTGACTGTTTTCATCACAAAGTAAGGATAATAACTGAAAGTGGGCTGAGCAATGTACAGGGTGCTTGCCTTGCATGTGGTCACTTGATTCCATCCCCAGCACCACATATGGTCCCCTATGTTCACCAGGAGTGACCCTGGATGTTAAATCAGGTGTGGCTGGGTGTCGCTTGAAAGCCAAAACTAAAACTAAAACCCGAACTATACAGGGCCGAAGACAAAGGACAAAACAGTTGCCTCATGTTTGTCGGACTTGAGACCTGCCAGATCTCTGAGCAAAGGTAGGTCTTCCTCCCCCCTCTTACCTCCAACCCCCAAATTGTAGATGTATTCCATTGGTTGGTCTTAGAGACTCGAGGCCTACGCTTTTATTTTCTTTAGGATTTTTTTTCCTTGTTTGGTTTTTGAGCTACACCCAGCTGTGCTCGGGTTACTCCTGGACCTGCATGTAGGGATTACTCCTGGTGGTGCCTGGGGAACCATATGAGGTGCTTGGGATTGAATCTGGGTCAGTCATGTGCACGACAAGCATCTTACTGGCTGTACTATCTCTCCAGTGGCAAGGATTTTTTTTGGGGGGGGGTTGGGGGGCTATGTGTGTGTTTGGGATACAACTGTCATGCTCAGGGATCACTCCTGGCATGCTTGAAAGATGACCAGGAATTGAATGGGGATTGAATCTAGAACTCTAGCATGCAAATCTTGAGCTCCAGGCCTTTGGGTCATCTCAACAGCCAGGAATCCTGTTTTTCAAATCAGTTATGAATATGCCCCAGTGGCCCCTGGCAACAGATCCCAGCTCCTGCTCCTGCTGTGATAGTTGTTACAAAACTGGCATCTTCTGGGCCTTTGTTAGATGCTTTTATGGCTTTATTTGTTTGTTATTGGGCAACACCCAGCAATGCTCAGAGGTTACTTCTGGTTCTGTACTCAGGAATCACTCCTGGTAGTGTTCAGAGGATCATATGGGGTGCTGGGGATCGAACCTGGGTTGGCCACATGCAAAGCAAGTGCCCTCCCCACTCTATTATCACTCCAGTTCCTAGAACTCTAGCAACTCTTAAAGAGGGTTCTGAGTCTTGTGACACTTTTCTTTTTGATCAAAATAAAATAGCAAAATGTCTAATTGATGTGAATTTATTGATAAGTCGATAAACTGAATGCAAGTTTCTGCCTGTAGAGTGAATTCTGGGTCTTTGCCAGATGCCATTCTGAGTCTCCTGAGGCAGCCGCTCAGCTCTGATTCTGCCAAGTGGAGGTGGTCAGCCCCTTGGCCCCAGAAGCACTTGGAGGAACTGACTCAAGGCTGGGAAGGCTCCACGGCACTCTTGGTTCATTTTGAGTTCATGGAGTCAGCAGCCTCAGTGGGAGAGATGGACCCAGGGGAGGCTGAGCTGTTCAGACCGCAGGGAGGCAGAGAGCACTCAGGAGAGTCCCAAGGCCAGGCTCCTCGGGAGACATAGTCACAGGAGCAGAGCTGGTAGCAGTGGGAGCTGATAGTCTCTAGTGTCACCTGGCTCTAGAGGTGTCTGGATTGGGGTGGAGAGTGAGCAGGGAGTTCTAAGCTCAGCAAATCGGTCTGCAGGGCCCGTTGAACATGTGTAAGTGATAGAGACCCCCCTCATGCCCCCTGGAATCCCTGCATAGGTTCCAGTGGGCACAGATAGTGCATCTGTCACTGACAAATATGCAGTGGGGACTTTTCTCCAACTCCACCTACCCAGTGGAGGCAAGCTGGGTCATACCCGCATAGTTTCTTAGGGTCCATGTGCTATTGCTTTTAATCATATCTGGCTTGCTCAGGACTTCCTCCTGGCTCTGCATGCAAGAGTCACACCTGGCGGGTTCACAGGACCATAAGGGATGCTGGGGATCCAACCTCGGTCAGCCGGGTGCAAGAAAAATGCCCTACCCGCTGTACTATTGCTTCAGCCTGGTCTATGACCTAGTACATGGCCCAAGACTGAAGGGTCAGTTTGTGAGGCTGGGGAAACAGTGGTTTAGTTTTCTTGTGGAAATTACCAGGAGGAATGGAATTGCACATTCTATTCTTCACTTTCATATTTTGGGTTGGGGGCCACACCCACAGGCTACTCCTGGCTCTATGCTCGAAGATGGAAGTGTAACTACTGGAGTTGCTCAAGGGCCATGTACGGTAGGGAATAAAACCAGGGCCATCTGAGTGCAAGGAAAGCACCTTTAGCCCTGAACTATCTCCAACTCTGCTTCCTACTCTTTTGCAGAAAGTATTTAGATAGTCAGGGGGACAAGCCACAACAAGGCATAATAAACACATCTGCTGCCCACATGGAGATACTGCAACTTGCAAGTAATTATTTAAGAACCCTCTTCCTGCTTCTTCTCTGACCCCTCCCCCCCACCATCAACTAACAGTTCTTAAACGAATAACACTAACCACAAAATCAGGGTTTCTGGCAGATGTTGGCAGGCTATACTGTACTTACCTGGTCTGTGGGTGTGTAGTCCACCAAGCTGACACTGTCGATTCTCTCCAGGAAGCTGGAAAGAGAGCAGCACATGTTCAGAAGCCTTCTAAGGTATGCTCTGTTCACTCCTGTGCAGTGAACAGGGGCCGCGAGGGAGGCTAAGTTCCCACTTTCTTTTCTGGGCATGAATCTACTTTTGGAGTGTCCTGTTCTCATGGAGCTAAGGTTGGGTTCACACTTGTTTTTCTCCCTCTTTCTCTTGCTGGAAAGAGGGGCAGGGCTGAGGGAAGGGAAAGGGGCCTGCTCCTGCAAGGCCCGGCTACGGGAGGGCAATGCCAATGCCAATCGAGGGAGAGATGCCCTGTTAGTCTATTAGTGCAAGTTCCTAATAAGCTCCTGGAGATGTGTGTGTGTGTGTGTGGGGGGGGGTGTTGCCAGGTCTGGTCTGTATGGGTACCTGGCAGGTCTAAGAAGTGTCAGATTGAGGACTGCTCCTCTCAGCAGTCTGAGGAGCGCCATGAACAGAGGGCAGGAGCACTAAAGCAAGGAATCACACGGTCTCTGCTAGCGGGAGGAGTCTAAAGCTATGGGGCACTTCTGACTCTAGCTCTCTCTTTGCTGAATCATCCCCTTCTCGCCCAAGTGCAGAGCTCATGCTGTCTGTCCACTTCTGCAAACTGCTTAAGAAAAAACTCAACTACAGTAAAAGTTGGGAAGGCCAGAGGGTGTTTTTACACGCTGCTCCTTGCCAGGTTCGCTGCACATTCCCTGGGAAAGCATAGCTTCATAAGCTTCTCAGCATGCAGATCCCTCGCCCAGTAGGACAAGAAGCTGCATCCCCACGTGTTGCATAACATTGGTTTGTCCCTGCTCCTCCCATTGGGAGCTTAGGTTGAATTACTCCTGTAACTGCTCCTGAGGCACACCCAATTCCATCAGGCACTAATCATCCTATATTGCTTTTGTCTTTTCTTTGTGTCCTTTGCATGATTTAGCAATGTCCTTTTTGTATAGACACAGGAAGATAGTTGATGCTGTGCTTTTGTTACTTGGGAGTTGATTGAATCCAAATAATATTTACTCCTGGGCATCCATCATATTTACTTGACTTAAGCCTCAGTTGCCCTTACTTCCTAACACCCCCAAAAGAAGGGTCCCAGTGAGGGATAAGGATGAACCCAGAGCAAGCTGTAAGCTACCCTGGCATCGAAAAGGGACAAGCTAAGTGCCATAAGAAGTATAATAAATTAAAAGCATGGTCATGGAACAAACTATCATGTCCCAAAAAGAAGTAACTGAATAACCCTCTTGAGGTTAGGAAATACTAACTTGGCCTGAGGACAGTAGTCTGGGATATATAATGAAATGTCCCTAGGAAAAGCCAACCTTTAAGCTTAATATATCTCTTGCTTAATATATCGCTTACTGTGTTCATACAAAATGACTTGAAATATTAGTAAGAAGTAAATTTATTATGATTGTTTAAATGGATTACTAGCTGAGGAAAAGAGAAAGCAATACACCCTAGATGAACTCCTACCCTTGAGCAGATCTCCTAGTAATCTAGTGTGTAGAACCCTCAGATGAGTTCTTGTTCTTGAGTTAATCTTCTGGAACTTCCCCTGAACAAGGGACTTTACATCTGTTTGTTGTTATGACAATGTTCAACCCCATCTGTGTGTACCCCCATATGATTTCTACATAACTATGCTATAAGGGGAGAGAAGGAATGATGTTGGGGGAAAGGGAGAAATGCTGACACTGTAAACAGGGAGAAATATGTGTAAGAGAAAAGTAAGGAGAATAAAGCTGTAAAGATGAGGATGATAATTAATAAACACTCACTGACTACCAACCAGCCTGGCGCCCTATTCCCAGTTCTTCATCTGTCCATTACCCTGGGCTGGCCAGAGGCAGTCCTCAGCCATCGAAAGCTCATGCTTCATTTACCCACACTGTTTTGAAACTCACACCCACGGGCTCCTGTTCTTCTCCCATGGTCATTCAACGAGAAGACACCAAGCTCCCTCTTTTATGTATAACATCAAGCTATCAATCTCTGTGAATTGGCCTTTGGTTCCACTATCATTTGCATTTCCAACTGTTCCCAAGGAAACCTATTTTGCTGTGAAAAAACTGGTTGATTCCCTTTCTGTCTCTCCCTCTCTGTCTCTGTCTCTCTGTCTCTTTCTCTCTCTCTCTCTCTCTCTCTCTCTCTCTCTCTCTCTCTCTCTCTCTCGATGGGGGAAGGCCTGTGCCTGGCAGGACTCAAGGGTTATTCCTGGCTTTGCACTCAGGAATTACCCCTGGTGGTGCTTGGGGGACCATACAGGATGCCAGGTATCAAACCTGGGTTGGTGGCATGCAAGGTAATTGCCCTACCTACTATCGGTCTGACCCTTGTTTCTTTTTAGAAATAATTATTTATAATACACGCTATATGGGCTTCCCTCAGAAATGCTTGGCATGGAAATGGGGCCTGATGCTTGGGTCCTGCAGGGACACCTGATTTTGGGGACCCAAAGCAGGTCCTCACATCCCTGATATATGCTCTTCCACTTGAAATGATGCCCTGACCTCCACTGACTAGGATTTTGTTTTTAAAAACTTTTCTATTTTTTTGGACCACACCTAGCTGTGCCCAGAGTATACTTCTGACTCTGTTCTCAGGGATGTCTGCTGGTGGGACTCAGGGTACCACATGGGTGCTGGAGTTGAATCATGCCAGCTGTGTGCTCTGTGTCTGCTTTCCACAACCTTTTTTGTTTGTTTTCGGGCCAAATCTGGCAGTGATCGATCCTGGTTCTGCACTTAGTAATCACTCCTGGTGGTGCTTGGGGGACCATATGGGATGGGGATCAAACCCTGGTTGGCCACATGCAAGGCAAGCACCCTACTCGCTGTACTATTGCTCTGGCGCCCTGTAACTTTGTTTTAAAGATCAATACAACTCATCTAAAATAGCACCCTTGTCCACGTTCATACACTCCTTTAATTTTTTTTAAAAAAGCACTTAATTGACCTGTTATTTTATATTTGATTAGCTTTGTGTTATTTGACTCTTCCTCCAAAATTTAAGACCCACGGGGCAGGTTACTGCTGGGGATGTGTGTATCCCCAGCAGAGAGCACAGGCCTAGCCCCCAACGTCTGTCAGATGAACGGCTGTCCGCTCCCTTCTTTCTCTGGCAGCTGAGAGCAATAAGTGAACTGAGTAGCCCACAAGAGCTCAGGGACAGAGCCCTTGCAGATAGGAGAGGTGTGAAAGGACAACTAGTACCCATGGGCCCCTTCCATGGGCAGCGGGGGCTTTGTTCAGGGAGCAGAGTTCAGAGTGGCCCAGGCTCCTTGATTCCCTGCAAAGTTAAAGGTAACCCTTAGTGAGTCAGCTGGGGGCCTGGTGCAGAGAACCTCTTGCTGACTGCATCCACCAGAAGCAGCTGCTTCAGACCCAGGGCTTGAAGCCGCACCCCACCTGCCCCAGGGGAGTGTAGGCAGGGCCCTTGGAATAGCTGCTCCTAGGAACCTCCTTTCAGAGACCCAAGCAGTGGGAGCAGCCACAAGAATGAGGCCTGGCCAGTTGGAAGACCAGGCCCAGCCCACCTGAGGGGAATGTGGGTCTCCTAGGAGGGGGAGACATGGTGCCTTGGGAGATGGCAAAGGCAGGCAGCTGCTCATCCCAGAAGGCAGGGCTGTTGAGGAAGTAGAGGGGCTGCGGCCGCAGGCAGCTCCCCTGTACCCCACAGGAGGTATCCTGCACCCGGTGTGGGAGCTGGTGAACCCTAAGGCAGGGGAACTGGAGAAAAGAGACTCCACCTCTGCTAGTTCTACCAGAGGGGACATACATGGGGGCATGTGCTAGGGTGGCATGTGGCCCTGCCCGGCCCAGCCCTGCCTGGGGCCTGGTGTAAGAATCTGGCACTTGGGTCTTGGCTGTTTTTGGTCAGAGCTGTGAGCATCTAGGAAGTACACTGAAGAAATATATCAGGCAGGAAAAAGGTCAAATAGGAGCACTGGGATGCAGTGACATATTTCTCCTTTCGGAAGGGTGAGAGTGTGTGTGTGTGTGTGTGTGTGTGTGTGTGTGTGGCGGGTGGATACTGCTGGGAGGTGAGCCCAAATACCGTGCAGCAATAAGAATTTGATTCAGAAATGGTCTGCCCTTCTGGCAGGGGCAAATGAGACACTCCAATAAGAAGAGCTAAAAGGGATGGAAAATGAAGCTAAATATGAAATCTCTGGCTATAGTTAAAGTTTAGGAAGCAACTAATTTAAAATAGGATGCAGTTCAGGTGGAGGTAGGTGGGTGCATTGATTCAGATGGTAATAGCTAGTGTTAAGTAGAAACAATGAAATGAGGTTAACAAAAAATACATCAGAAGTGCTTGATTGATGTGATTAAAGACTGCTTCCAAAGGAAACGGTGGGAGTACCTTCCTGAGGACTATTAAAAGCAAATGGTTTTGAGCTGGGGATGCTAAAGGCAAGATGTCAAGTTCTTTTCCCATCCTTAATCTCCAGGATAGAAAGCCCCGAGATTTCCTTCCAGCTCTGGTGTTTAACTCTCTCCCTGAAAGAAATACCCAGGCAGCATCAAGGAATATTTCCCAGAGTATCTTCTGAATTATTGCTAAAGCTGAATGGTATTGAGAATTCGTGGATTTCAAGTTTGGACAGTGAGAAAAATAAAATGAAAATTCACCCCTGAAGGTGCATTTCTTTGAAAGACTCTCTAAGGAATAAAATGAATGTGGAGAGTGGTAGACTTCTATCTGCTTTGACCTTAATCTTTTGGTTCTACTGGCATATTTCCCAGCGTGTAACAGTACTTTCAATTGGGGTTCTTAAGAGAACACATATACAGATGAATTTTAAAATGGTTTTAGAGCAATCGCAAAATCTCATGACTACATTTTAAAGAGTCAGTAGCATTGCCTTCTTAAGTATGCCTGTGAAACTGAAAAATCAACCAGATCTAAGAATAACCCTCCTAGTCAATTCAATCAGACCAGATATGAAATTGCATGACAACACTGAATTACAGTTATTAAATTTCACCCTTTGTGTGAAAACTATAAAAGGTTGAAAGTAATTTACATAAAATTAGTTTATTTTGATTTTTAACATTTCCTGTTATAGCAAAGGAATTCATGCTGGCAGAATTGTTTTTAGTCTCAGAGCCTGAGAGATGGTACAGAGGCTAGGGCACTTGCCTTGCACGTGTCTGATCTGGATTTGATTCCCTGCACCCTACAGGATCTCCCAAGCCTCATTAAAGATTGATCCTTGCTCTTAGAGCCAGAGTTAGCCCTAAGCACATCTGGGTGTTTCCCCCAAACTAAAAAACAAACCAAAAATCCAAGTGATTTTAGTCTCCTTGATTTTAGATCTCCTTTTCAATAATGGTATAAAATAATTCTGAAACAAAACTGAACAAAATGGCTTATTTCTCATCTTTTGTCTGCAGTCCTGCTGAAATAACTCAAAAGTCATCATTCTTCAGGCCCTCGAATTCATCATGAAAAGGGACAAAGAGTCACGAGGGGGAAACAAGAAAACTGGGTCTAAAGAAATAAAATTTAAACCGTTTCACACACAAAAAACCTAGTAATCTGCAAGCCTATTTCCTATGTTAATGGAAATCATGATGTTTGTGTGGAGCGATAGCACAGCGGTAGGGCGTTTGCCTTGCACGCAGCCAACATGACCGACCCGAGTTCGATTCCTCCGCCCCTCTCGGAGAGCCCGGCAAGCTACCGAGAGTATTCGATATGCCAGACACGGTAACAACAAAGTTTCTAATGGAGACGTTACTGGGCCCGCTCGAGCAAATTGATGATCAACGGGAGGGCCTTTACTTTTACTTTATGATGTTTGTGTACATGATGCAAAAACACTGGCGGAAAAGTGTTTCATAGACGGTGCCAAAGAACCAGGTAGTGCGGCATTCCGTGAGCATTCTGCTTAGAGAACTACATCAGAGGAAAATACTGTATGATTGCTCTCATAGGTGCTACTTAGAGAAACAAATGAGTGAGCCTTTTAGACTATGGGACCAAGGACTGGTTACTGGAAGAGAAGACAGGAAGGGAGAGAGGAATACAACAGATAAACGGGGTCAACTGTCTGGTGCAGAAATAAGTGTTCCTCGGTGAGCTTAGTGATTACATGCAGATGATACTTTATAATAATGCCCACCGAAGCATTTATAATACCATGTTACTTTGATAAAAATATTAATAACCACCAAACAAAATCATACCCAGACCCATGGTGCCCTTGGAATCAGCATTTTCGGTGCCTTAGCAACATGTGTTCACATCTAAACTGTGACACTTGGTGCATCTCTCTGTCCCTGTTTCGGCCCCCACGCTCCAGGCTCTGTTCTTCCCTCACCAGCACCTCTTTACTGATGCCTCTGCCTCTGCTTCTTTCCTCAGGGAAAAGCCAGTTTCCAAGTCAGTTTGATTTCTTCTTCACACATTTTTGGGGGGGGGGAGGGTGGAGGAGGATAGTGGAAGGAAGGCTTGGAGTACACCTGGTGGCATTCAGGGGCTACTCCTGGCTCTATGTGCAGGGAACACTCCTGGCAGAGCTTTGGGGCACTGAAGGCTAGAACTGCGAGCAAATCAAGTGCTTAAACCCTTGTACTACCTGTCCAGTTCTGTGCTTCACTCTTGATTGCTTCAAACAAACCTTTCATTACAGTCAAATCCTTAAGTATCTTCTCAAACCTTGGTGTAGTTCCCACTTTTAAAATTTGAAATGCCAGATGAAACCTCTTAGAAGTAGTGAATTCTTGCCACCACTGACACTGCTATCCCGTGCTTAGTGCCTTATGACTCACAGAGGTGGACACACACAGGGTCAAGTGATGTCTCCTGAGCTGCTAGTGGGGACTTTCATGTCTGTGTCCAGTCATGTTCATTTTCCTCTTCCTCTCCCCCCCCCAATATTTAAATTGAATCACCATGAGATACACAGTTGCAAAGTTGTCCATGATCATGTTTCAGTCATACAGTGTTCCAACCAATATTCTATTTCCCTCCTGCCACCCCTCCCCAGCCTGCTCTATGGCAGGCACTTTTCTTTTCTCTCTCCTCCCTCTCTCTCTCTCCACCTCTCTTCTCCCCCTTTCCTTTTGGGCATTATGGTTTCCAGTATAGGTACTGAAAGGTTACTGTGTGTATCCTTTTATCTCCTCTCAGCACTCAGTTCTCTACAGTGACCATTTTCTTTCTTTCTTTTTTAAAATTGAATCACCATGAGATACAGTTACAAGCTTTCATGTTTGAGTTACAATCACACAATGATCAAACATTCATCTCTCCAACAGTGTGTATTCCCTATCACCAATCTCCCCAGTATACCCCCACCCTCCTTTCCCACCCTCCCTCCCCCTGCCTCCATGGCAGACAGTTTCCCCCATACTCTCTACTTTTGGGCATTATGGTTTGCAATACAGATACTGAGAGGTTACCATGTTTGGTCCTTTATCTACTTTCAGCACATATCTCCCATCCCAATCGATCCCTCCAACGATCATTGTCTTAGTGATCTCTTCTCTATTCCAGCTACCTTCTTCCCCTGCTCATCAGGCAGGCTTTCAACTATGGAGCAATATGACCCTTGTATCTACTGTCTTTGACTGTCAGTCTCATGTTATGTTATTTTATATTCCACAAATAAGTCCTTCTATGTCTGTCCCTTTCTTTCTGACTCATTTCACTTAGCATGATACTCTCCATGTAGAATGACCATTTTCAACTATCGTTGTCATAGTGGTCCATTTTCCATCCTAAATACCCATCCCCTTTTTCCTTCCAATTATAGCAAGTTGCAACCATGGACCAATCTTCCCAGCCCTTGTTTCTACTGTCCTTGGGTATTAGTCTCACATGATTTTTTTCCCCACAAATGAATGTGATCATTATATCTCTCTCTCACTCATTTCACTCAGCATGATACTCTTTATGTCCATCCATTTATCCACCACCTTTCTCTTTATGAGATTGACACTTACCTAACTACACTAGCATTGAAGGCAGACAAATTTTTGTTTTAAAGGAAAACATGAATTCATTGTTGAAAAAGTACAAACTCCCTTAGCAAGCTGGGAGTAAATTCCTTTTTTTTTTTTTTTTCCTTTTTGGGTCACACCTGGCAATGCACAGGGTTTACTCCTGGCTCTGCACTCAGAAATTACTCCTGGCAGTGTTCAGAGGACCATATGGGATGCTAGGAATCGAATCTGGGTCAGCAGCATGCAAGGCAAACCCCCTAACCACTGTGCTATCGCTCCAGCCCCAAATTTCTTAATCTAGTAGAGGGCAAGCGACTTTGAATCCTCTTGAAAGAAACCTCCCAGAGTCAGCATCTACACATCTTAGTCTAAATTTTAGTTCATCTGTGTAAACACCGCTGAACTCTTGGTCCCAACACAGCAAGGGCCAACACTGATGTAGAGGTATGACCCCGAAGAAAAGGATAGGGTGCTGTAGGCATCTAACAGTGTTTAGGCCAAATACCCCTTGTCCCCATCTCATTGCTGTGGACATGGTTGGCTGCGATTTTCAGGGTGAGGACATCCCATCTTCATCCCACTAAAGGTGACAGGGCACCACACCCAGTTAGGCATCAGTGGGGCCTATAGTGCAGCCCATCCTCTAGCTGGAGGAAAACTCAGGTAAGCCAGGCATTCTGTGAGTTCTGCTTGTTGATTTAAGAAAGTCAAATGCGAGATGGTGTTCAAAGGGTGGAGCGCATGCCTAAAATGCACAAGGTCCTGTGTTCGATAACTAGTGCTACAAGTTTCCCTGACCACTGCGTGGGGTGACCCTGGAGGCTCCCAGTACCTCTGGGCTGCAGTGTATGGCAGGGCCTAGTACTGATCCATGAGGCCAACAGCACCAGGCCCCACATCTTTAAAGGATTTGCTTCCCTATTACTGTTGTGTGTGGTCCCTTGGCAAATAAGTTACAGGGGCCTCTTCATCAGTTTAATGTCTACCGGTGTGTAACTTTTCCAGCCCTAAGTACTTACTTTTTTTTTTTTTTTTGGGGGGGGGGCACACCTGGTGACACTCAGGATTTACTCCTGGCTCTGTACTCAGGAGTTGTTCCTGGCAGTGCTCAGGGGACCGTATGGGATGCTGGGGATGGAACCTGGTTGGCGTGTGCAGGGAAAGTACCCTACCTGCTGTTCCACTGCCCCAGCTCTTAATCTTTACTAATGTTGGGAGTTTAGGACTTGGGTTACAGAAACACACCTAAGGGAGTGCTGAATCACAGAGGAATTTAGTATGGAAAGTCCCTCCTCTGATTTATCTAAGACTGTCTGGCTGATCCTAAGCCTACTCAGTTAATAAAGTTAGTCTTTTAGGTACGTGTTTCCCAAGAGAAAGACAGCAGAGTTGAATAGTATTGAAACCTGGTAGTGTTTGTCAAAGAGGCACATAAATGCATTACAAGGAAATTTTACTGAGACTGCTCTTCAATACTGCACAAAGTTCTGAACTAAAATAAACTTACCAGTCATAAAATAAACTCAAAGTTTTTCCCTAAATGCCTGTTGGAAATTGTTCCTTTGAGAGCAAGAAATAGGAGAAATAAAAGTAAAAATTATATTAGTTGCTAAATGGAAGATTATTTCATGAGTATGTCTGACATGGATCCTTTTGTAAATGACACATTTTTAGTGTAGAGAACTTTCAGTGAGGAAATAAATCTTGACACAGATAAAGGATTATAAGGCAGCATTGGCAAGGATATCTAGAAATATTCATGAGAACTAAACAGAAATTCAGATGGTTAAGGGTGAATTTTAAAAATACCTTTTGTTTCAATGTAACAAATCTCCCTAAATTTTTCTTAGCCTTTTAAACAGGATGTACACTCAAATGCAATAATGTATCATTGAAAATGGTTTATTTGACACTTTTGTGATTTACATCTCAGCATTTCATTAACTTCAAAAGTAAGGAATTAATTCATGGGCCTGGTATGCTTTTGAAAATAATATTTATGGTCTGTAAAAATGTACATTCATATAGATCAAAATGAACATATATTAAGAAAGGTCAAGCATATTCAAGCATTGTTCAATCTCACAAAATATATTCACTTTGTTGGGAATATTTTTACTATAAAAGGATCAGTTTAACAAAGGGTTCAGCACTAAGCAATTTTAAAGTTGTAATTTTTTTAAAGTGTAGACGAGTTATTACACACGCTATTCTACAGCTGTCTCTGTGTAACCACAGGAATAGATGAGACACTCAAGGTGGGGAAATTCTAGAAATTAAATGACAAAGTTGGGCAGATTAACAACACGTGCCTTACAAGGAAGATTCTGGAATATCCAGTCTGCTGTAAAGACACTTAAATATGAAGGTCAGTCCTCATCTGCATATATGTGTTCTATTTTTTTTCACTCACTCAAAACATGTAATAATGAATTCTTGGTTACGAATCTTTTCAAGGGCTTGTGGAATGCCAATAATTATTTCCTGAAACACCAGAAATCTTACAGTGAAGGAAAGGACGGTTTAAAAGAAATTAAGTATTTAATTTAGGTTAAGATACTTGCTGAGGCAAAAGTAAATCTCTGTTAACCTTGAAAAAGTGATAGCCTTGCTTTTTAGCCAAAGAATAGAAGCTGCCACTCCTATAGAGAGGGGAACACAACTGGGCTCTGGCTTATGTCAAGGCCTGCTGTCCAATCCTGTCCTTATCCTCTTTCCCACTGGCTGCTGCTTTTAATTATTCTCATGGCAAAGAAAAACACTCAAATATATATTCCTATGGTTTTTAAAGCACTATTGCTTTAAGACAAATGCAAGTAATTAGAACTTAAAAATAATGGTTCTAATTTTCTGTTCACTTTTAGTTGCCACAATCAAAACAAAACAAAACTTACACACATGCGCGCACACACACACACACACACACACACACACACACACATACACGGAGTTCTGGGAATTTCTTAAACCAACCAACAGTTCTTTGGCAATGTTAGAGTGAGTAAATCCATGCTAGCTAACATACTTTAGGATGTAATTCAAGTGTTGAAATATGAAAATAACAAGAAATACTACCATTTGAAAGAAATGGTGGTCACATTACAGTCTGTCTTTCGAGAAACTCTTTAGATAATAAAAACTGCAAGTGAGTGAAGTTTTCCTTAAAATAAATGGGAACTAGGTGGCATTTTCCAGTTATTAAAAAAAAATCCACAACACAAAAAATTTATAGACCATATGCATACAGTGAGTATTAAATAAGTGTCCAAGTTTTAGTTTGCTAGTTCAGATCAACAATCAATTGCAGCTTCAATCTGATGTCAATAAACAACACAGGAAATTCCATTAAATAACGAAGTAATCATTTTCTTCCCTTTAATAGTTATGTACCATTTGTCAGTTTTAGATATTACCGAGTAAAATAAATGAAAAAAAAAAGCACTTAAATTAGAGCAGAAAACAGAATACAGAGGAAACAAGCGTTTCGACCAGATTTTTGGGAAGAGATTCATATACACTTAATTAGCTTTTCAAAAGGTAGCTAGAAAAATACACATCACAACCCATAGAGAACTTAAGAATCCGAGGAGAGTGGAGAGAGCCGGGAGGAGCTCCGTAACGACCCGGAGCGCACTGTAAACCCGAAGGCAGCAGCGTCTTCGGTCGGGAGCCTCTTCTAGCACTGGGCTCCGCCCGGCGGCTCCCGGAGTGCGCTGCCCGCTCCCGGCGCGGGGGCGGCGACGGTCATTACACCTGGTCGCGGAGGCGGGCCAGTCTCTGGGACAGCTCGTCCTGTTCGGCCGAGGCCACGCTGGTGCCCACCGAGCCGGTCTGGCCCTGCGGCAGCTCCATGTTGAGGTCGAGGCCTGCCTCGTCTGCCATCTCCTGGAGCAGCATATCCACCTGGTTCTGGGGAGTGGTCAGCGTCGTGGTGCTGCTCATCGTGTCCTCCATCTGCTGCGTTTGGACGTCCAGCGTCTCAAACTGGTGCTCGAACTTGTCCATGAGGGCGGAGATCTTCTCCAGGTTCATGGTCTTCAGCGTCGCGTCCATGGACTTGACCACCCCGGCCATGGACTTGGTCACCTTGCCCATCGTCACGGCCGTCTGGACGCGGGCGGCCACGGCGTCCACGCGCGCGCTCATGCGCAGGAAATTCACCGCCTGGTTCTTCTGGCGGATGGCGTTCTCGGCGTGGATGCGCGCCACTTCCATGTTGCCCTTCTGGATGGCCTTCTTGATCTTGGCCTTCTCCGCCTTCTCCTCCTTGTCGCATTTCTTGGCGCTGCGGCTCAGCTCTTTGGCCGCAAACTTGAGGTTGAACAGGTGTTTCTCCATGTTGGACATGGTCGGGGGGCCCGGAGTGGGCGGCTGGCCTGGGGCGCCGAGAGCCGGGACTGGCAGGACCGCTCCCCGCGGCCGCGCCTTTGTTTTGCTCCCGCTTCCTGTTTCGGCCGCGGCGGCGCGGGGATGACGTCAGAGAGCCGCGCCGGGCGGGGCCCCTGGGGCGGAAGTCGCGGGAGGGCGGGGCCCCGGGGAGCGGCGGGAGGCGGCGCCTGGGCAACGTCAGAGCGCCGCGCCGGGCGGGGGCCCCGGGATGGAAGTTGCCGGAGGAGGGGACCCGGGGAGCGGGGGTGGCGGGAGACTGGGGGGGGGGGGGCCCATACCCAATCCCCCCAACTCCCCGTTCTCTTTCTCTGGTTGGACGGGGCGGCGTGGGCGCCGTCAGGGGCTCCTCCCAGGTCAGTGCTCTGGGAGGCCTTAACGGCTCCTGTTGCACGGGCTGGGGTCGCTCCGGAGCTCCCTCCCGTCCTCACCCCGGTTTTGGGGTGTAAACGAATGAGGTCATTCAAACTGCGTGCTGGCAGCCCCTCTGATCCCCGGAGCAGCGCCAGGGTGTGGCCCCAGTACCGAACACCAACAGTACCCCCGCTGCAGCCCACACTCGGCTCCTCGGCCCCGGCCCGCTGGAGGAGGTGGGGTAGTGTTTGCTCCGCAGGCTTCGGGGGCTCTGGCCAGGCGCAGAGGAACACCTGCTGCACGCCATCGCGGGCTTGATTGGCATGGCTAGCTTCCATTTTCTCTGGGGTACCTGGGTCATCAGACGTATTAGGAAACAAAATGCGAGTTGTAGCCTTGGCCCTGGTGGGATTCTGGACTGCAGTCTCTGGTTACAGAGAATGAAAATACCTTTAAAACCGTTCACCACCTCCTGGCTGGCTATGGCTAGAAGTTCAGCTTCTAGGTGATTTAAGTCACTGTCACGCCAGATTCTAAGGTGGTTTAGGAATAAAAAGTCCCATCTTTGCTGACATGATTCTCCCTTTGATGTTTTATAAATATCCAAGAATCTTCACTCACAGTTAAGTCTGACAGGTTAAATTGTCACTTTAAATTATGTAGGCAGAGCATGGCGAAGTATTGGGACCCACATTCACTGGCTTACATCAAAACTGTCACTGTGTATTATAATCTTAAAAAAAAAATGCAGGCTTTCAAATTGCGGCATTGTGTGCTGAAGCTTTTTCTTTCAGGCCGAACTCAGGTAGTGGAATAACAAAATATCAGAAGGTCCAATCTGGGCCATGAATGTGGCTGAAAATGAATGCCCTGAGCTAATTTTGCTTGGAGGTAATTTTAGTCTGGTGTTTCATCATCGTCTTGGCCTCCTCTGATAATGTGCCGCCATTCTTGGGCAACGAAGAAGTGCTGCTGTCATGTGTGCCTCCTAAAACACAGCTCTGACTATGTCTTTCTTTACTCCAAAACCGGCATAAAGGCTGAGCTCTACGTGGCACATGGAACCTCACACTGAACCTTTCTTCTTTTACTGCCAGGCAAAGCAGACCAAAGCAAAGAAGCTGAGCAGCATTTGTTCACCAAATCAGGGGGATGAGGCGCCATATTCCTCTCATGGTGGACACTGTTCCTGCTATCAGGCCTTGCTGCCATGACTTGCATCTCTTATAGCTCTGCCTGCTGAGACCCTACCCAGACTCAAAAAGCTTACCACCACCTCCAGGATGCCTTCTAGGACACCCTTCTCTGTGCTGCCCCCACCTGCAATTTCTGTCCTAGCACCTGGAGCAAACCACTTGGCCTGGGGTCTCTTGGTAGAGGTCGCCTATTATGTTGTGAACTCTCTGGGAGGAGAGCAGTTACTCCTTTTGCCCTGTGGGACCCAGCACACACTTTGCATAGGTGGTGCATTCAACATCACTTTGCTGAACTGCATAGCAGCTGAGTGGTGCAAGTATGTTACTCAAGTTAGTTGAGATTATATTCTATATTTTCTTTCGAACTAATAGAACTAGGTCACACCAGACATTTCTAGGAATAATATCGACCAATGAAAGTGAAGAAAGTCTGGAGTGGAGCTCTTGTTTCTAACCCCAACTCTGTTTATTCTCTGTCCCACTCATTCCAGGGTTTGCCCTGCCATCTGCAAACCAGTTCCTTGACCTGACTCTGTCACTGTCACTGTCCTCCCATTGTTCATCGATTTTGCTCGAGCGGGCCCAGTAACATCTCCATCCTGAGACTTGTTACTGTGTTTAGCATATTGAATATTTCACGGGTAGCTTACCAGGCTTTGCCGTGCGGCCGAGAAACTCTCGGTAGGTTGCTGGGCTCTCCGAGAGGGGAGGAGGAATCGAACCCGGCTTGGCCGGGCCGGCTGCATGCAAGGTAAATGCCCTACCACTGTGCTGTTGCTCCAGCCCCCTGACTCTGTTTTGTCTTTGATTGTTTAATGACAAATTGGAATGAAATGAGTTGGTCTGAGACTCTGGCCTACAGACCTTATATAGTAGGGAAAGCACAGCAACACACAGGACCCTGGCTGGCCAACACTCGTCTGCCCTGTGTGGGAAACAGGACTCTCTGGCCAGAGCAGGAACCAGGACCATAGCACTGGAGGCATCCCCCTACGTAGCACGATTACAAGGTAAATTTCCTTTGTTCTATTATATGATGACTGAGCTGTTAATAAGCGACAAGGCAAGGTTGTTAAGTTAAATCCCTGAAGCTATCTTTTTAAACATTATTTTTTGAACAATAGCACCAATATTATTTTACTTTTGTTTTCTGAGCCGCGCCTGGATATGCTATTATTCCTGCAGTGCTTAGGAGACCATATGCAGTGATAGGGATTGGAACTGATAACTATTGCAAGCAAAGCAAGCAAGTGCTATCACTCCAGCCCAGTATCATTGTTTTATACTTGCGTACCGCTACACCATGCTCACCACCAAAGTTCCAAGGCCCCTCCAGCATTATCTCAAGGTCTCCTACCCCATTAGCAGCCCAGATCATACACAGTTCTATTGACAATATCTCAAGATTGTTTCCAATGGGGACTGGCTAGTTCCGTGCTAGTCTCATTTTTCACTTCCTTATACTCAGCATAGGAGTGTTTGTTCTTTGTTTTAGACTCACTTCACTCAGCATGATTTCCTCCAGTTCCATCCAAGTTGCAGCAGACTACACAATTTCATCTTTTCCACCGCTGAGTAGTATTCCACTGCACATGCACACCACACCTACTGTTGGGCACTTGGATTGTTTCCAGATCTTGGCTATTGTTAATAATGCTGTAATGAATATAGATGTATGTATACATCTATGTATGTATACATAGAGGTCCTTTCTGATCAGTGCTTGGGATAGATACCCAGGAGATGATGTACAGGCTTATATGGCAGTTCCAGTCTTTATTTTTGGGAGAAACTTCCAAACTGTTTCCCAAAGAGTCCCAGGCAGGCAACAATCTGAGCCGTCTCTGCACCAGCACTTATTGTTCTCAGACTTTTGATAAAGATCATGCTTGCTGGCGTGTGGGGATATTTCCTTGTCATTTTGATTTGCATTCCTCTGATGATTAGTGATGTGGCCATTTTTTTCCATATGCCTGTTTGCCATCTTTTTGTTATCTTTGGCCTCTCCTTTTCCCATTTATTTTCGGGGGGTGGGGGCGTACATCTGGCGATGCTTTGAAGTTACTCCTAGCTCTGTACTCAGGAATTATTCCTGGCAGTGCTTGGGGGACCACATGTGATTGAACTCGTGTTAGCCACATGCAAGGCAAAAACACCCTACCTGCTATACTATTGCTCCTGCTTTCTTTTCTCAATCTTGAATGGGGCTATTTGTTTTGTTGTTAAGCTTTGCGAATGCCCTTTAGATCTTGACCCTTTAGATTTGGTAGCAAATATGCACACATCACACAACAGAAAAAGGTGCTAAAATCCAAGAGAGTGGTAGCTACTTCTTTAAATGAGAGCAGGTTGCTGTTCTGGCTAGTCAGACAGTCCAGAAAACTGGGCAAAGTCCCAGGACCCCTACTTTCTGACAGCAGGACAGAATGGTAACCCCAAGAGTCTAGTGGAGCCTTGGCAGCTCATTCCTTGTTCTGGGGAATCCTGCTTGCTCCTGAAAACCCTGTGGTCCTCTGTGTGATCTAGATAGCAACTCTCATTTTCACATTTCCATATCAAAGTTCTAGAATCTCTGAGTTCCACGATGTCCCATAGACTCCTGCCTCTCAAGCACTAATCTGTGGCACAAGATGTGTGAGCAGCTCCTCACCATTGCCTGCCTTGTTCCCAAACCTGCTCATCCCCATTTCCGCATGGGCACCTCTACTCTCGGAATTGCTCCAGTAAGAACCTTAACTTTTCGCTTCTCTGCATTCCACCGAGGGGTAACACCTTTCATTTGTTTTCTTTTTCACGCATTTAGGAGATATGTGAAGGTATGTTTTCCACATAGTTTGCAAAGCTACAGTATGTAGGATTTATGAAGGGTTATCAAAGAATTCGGATTGTTCAGGAGAACCTTCTGGTTTTAACTCGAGTATGTAAGACCGTATGCAGTCACTGGATTAGCCAGCAGCTCTCCAGTGGCAGCATCTCATACCACCCTGAGCTGATACACATAGGTCCCCCCCCCCCCGCCCCCAGGACCTGGAAGAAAATTCTCATCAGAATGCCGACATTTTCAGAAAGTCATGAGGCAAACCAATTAAGTTATTTTGGTCATGAGTTTGATCTAGAGCCATCCCAGAGTGGAGTGTGACCTTGGTGGCTCTGTCACTGTGATCCCAGGGCACAGAGATAAAAACATGTAGCCCCTGTCATTGCAGAACAACAACTACAATAAAAAGGAGGGTTTAAAAAATATAGTGGGAAGAAATGTACTTTCATCAAGCCTACTGAACAGTAGTCAGATATGACCTACTTCTTTTCTTTTGCATCAATACAAAAGGTTAAACCTAAGATATCTAAGCAATTCATGTGGTTTGATTTCACTAGAAAAGAATCACTTGCTAAATCGAGAGATCAAAAAATGGCAATAAACTGATAAAAAATAATCTTAGTGTCACACAGTGTGTGGCATTAAACTCTGACTGGAATTTCATAAATAGGTTCTAGTTGCTTGGAAATATGATATGTAGAATTCTCTCTCTCTCTCTCT